TGATCGAACTCCTTGTGTTCTCAGATCAAGCTTTGCACTTTCTGATCGAACTCCTTGTGTTCTCATATCAAGCTTCGCGCTTTCTGATCAAACTCCTTCTGTTCTTAGATCAAGCTTCGCGCTTTCTGATCAAACTTCTTCTATTCTCATATCAAGCTCCATGCTTTCTGATCGAACTTCTTGTGTTCTCAAATGAAGCTCCGCGCTTTCTAATCAAACTTCTTGTAATCTCATATCGAGTTCTCAGATTGAGCTCCTTATGAACTCAAATCGAGCTCCTTATGCACTCAGATCGATCTCCTTATGCACTCAGATCGAGCTCCTTATGATCTTAGATTGAGCTCTTTACGCTCTCTAATTGAGCTCGTAAGCTCGCTTGTTTGCTTGAGATCATGTGCATTAGACCGTTCAGTTCGCATGCCTCAAACTCTCAGGTGGAGCTCCTATCAGATCGCGATCAACTCCTAGCTCTCAAAACATGATTAGCTCACAGTCTGAGATTGCGAACAACCTCAGGTCGTGTTCTCAGCTCTCAGATCGTGACTAGCTGCCAGCATCAGAAAAAATACGTAGAAAACTCAAAACAGCCCCAAAACATGCCAAAACAGAGGATTTTGGCCCCAAAAATGGCCCCAAATGGATTCCCCCTTTGTTGACGTAGAGCTCAAAACGAGCTTTCCGTGGATATCTTACAGGTTCCAAAACTCCTCCCGGATCAAAAGTTATGGCTGTTTTAAGTTGGTCTATCCGTTTAAGGCCTCTAAGCCATGCGTTTGGGCTTCTAACATCAGCAATTTATCTACAGTCACATTTTATGCCAGTTATTAGATCACGCTCAGCTTCGAATCGCTCCAAGCGCTCATATCACAGTCCTAGCTCTTAGCACCCGATCGTGCCAGGCACATTTCGAGCTCTTTAGTTCGAGACTGTAGCCTATAGTGCAACAACCATTTAGACTAAGACATGAATTTTTAAAGCGCGATTACGCACTCCAAAAACTTGGGGGGGAGGGGGGGGGTGTTTCTATTATGCCTAAAAAATCACACTGATGTCAGCTCAACAAGTGCCTAAAAGACAAAGTGTACTAGCTGTCAAGCCCATACCGCCTCAAAGATATTTTATACCAACCCTATCTCATTTTAAGATAAGGATGAATGAGAGCTCTCTATGTGTCAAGCCAACTTGCAAAAACACTCATTACATTGACCTCAAATGTGTATAAAATAGGCATCTCTCCTCGTAAAATGAGAGGCTGGACATATGAGAGTTAGGCACATGAGAGCTTATTTTTCTCTGTAAACAAAGTATTTCTCCATCTTTGTACGCCTTACAGACAATATCATGGAAATAGTCAGAGAATAATAAAATAACAATGGATGTAGGATTTGCTTTAAGCATCCAAACCACTATAAAAACCTCTCTTGTCAATCCTTTATTTATGTTTCTGCAAACATATATCATCTCAGCACCATAAACACTTCTCATGAATCCATTACGTGTAATTTATAAGACTATCTTAGCACTTTGCATGTGCGAGTCGTTTGTATCAAAATCAAGCATCAACAAGTATGTTTGGTTGGGGTAATCTCTCATTGGTAATGTTATTTTATATCATTGATATTATCATGTTTGATTGTCAAATAATAAAATATTTCGGTAATTCTCAAATATAAATAGTAAATAAGTTATATAGGTGGTAATTTGAATATTATATTTTCCGTAAGTATTTTAAGATCATTTGACAATTTTAATTTTATTACAATTTTACTCCTAATTAATAAATTTTTTAGATAACAATGCCCTTGTTCTGAAAGCAATTACAAATTTTATCCTTATACACAAGATTTTTAAAACATTATTACCTTTGTACTTTCACCAAATTACTCAATACCACAACCAGACCTAGCCACCAGCGCCCGTTGCCGTAGTCAAAATGGCACATGACTGGCCGCATTTGGCCAACCGTGCACCGTTCTGGCCAAATTCAGCTAGATGCATGGCCGTTTATTTGGCAGGAAAGAAATAGCCAAATCGGCATACAACCGACAATCGTCTTGGGTGGTTGGGGTGTTTTGGCTAACTTTTATACTTTTATTATGACTGTGGTGTTTTAGCTTAATTCTTAAATGTAGAGGGTTAAAAAAAATTCCAAATAATGATAAATAATATTAAAGGAGAAGGGCAATTAAATAAAAGACTTCTCCTATAATTATTTTATTTCTTCCAACCAAACATATCAATATAACATACCACTAATTTATTCCAATTTCGCTAAACATATTTAATATAATATTTTTAGTAATTTTCAAGGTAATCTATCTTCTCATTAATATAATATTCCCAGTAACACAACATTTGTTTTATATATTTAGACGAGATTGATGATTACCAAACAATCCAATATTTTTTATGTAATGGACAATTGAGATCTAGTTATAAAAAATGTTAGCCGGGGACAAGAAGGAGCAGCCAGGAAATGATTTTACCTAGGTTTTAGTTTTGATGAGGCTATATATTATGTTAATGTTGTAACATTTTGACCCCCACATACTTTATTTTGGGAAAATTAATTAAAATATAATTTTAAGTTTAGAATGAATTAAATAACCATAAAATTTGAAAATATTTAGTGTCATTCACTTAAGCATATAAGCTTATTGCTTAAGCAACATAGACTTATATGTGTTAAAATTTGGAATGAATTTAAATAGATATGAAGCTTGAAAATCTTTACTAATAATCATTCCTTTAAGTGATATAAGCTTATCGCTTAAGTGATATAGACTTATCTATAAGTTTACCTCTTAAGCGATATGGTATTTTAAAGTCAGCTCCATATTTTCATGTATATGTTAAATTAGTATCCTTTTAACTTAATCACTATTGGGTGATTGAGTCGTCAATTATGACTCTTGGGTATAACACTTAAGAGGTCTTGAGTTCGATTTACCTTGACCCTCCCTAATAAGGGTGGCCAATTAGTACTCTTATCTGATAGTTTTAATGTCTTAAAAGATTAGTTGGGGTATGCGTAAACTAATTCGAACACTCAATTATTAAAAAAAAAAAAAATCCCTATTAACTTTAGTTCCTGAGTCTGTCCTTGCGAGTGACTTTATTATTATTCATGAACACGTATTTATAATATAACATAATCTTTTCCGGAAGAGATGCAAAAACTTTTTTTTTTTTTTTTCATTCCTTTTTGATGGATTGGACAAGACTTTTACTGGAAATAGCAACGAGAGACAAAAGAGTAAAGAGAATTTCTAAGAAACAAGCCAAGTCCAGCCTGCGGTAACAATTTCTCAAGTTAAATGAGTAAACGACATTTTCCCACCCATGGTTTGGCGAATCTCCAATTCCCACCCCTAGTTTCATAAATTGTAAATTCCCACCTTTATATTAACACTGTTGCTTTTCTCTCAAAATAACTCTTACATCTCAAATTTCTCTCAAATAATCTTCAGAGGATCTCGGCCAAGCTAAGAATCCGACATAATTCTGACATCATTGGACCTCCCTGACACCACCATCAATATCCTCTGATCCTCCTCACCAAATCCCCTAACTTTTTCACTCGAGGCCGAAATTTGGCTAGAAAGGGGCAAAAAAACATGAAAACTTAAGAGAGAGGCGGTGGTGATCGGCAGGCAATTGTAGTCGACGATGTTGGGGGTTTTGGTGGGGGGAAGTCGACAATGCTATTGGTGATCTTGGAGGTGGTTTTTGGTGTCGGGACTTATCCCAATTTAGATGAAACATCAATTGATACTAAAAACAACGACCGACGATTGGGGGGGTTCAATCAAACAGTTAGATTAGAGGTTTTGATGTGGGGGTTGAAGGGATTGTAATGGTGGTGTTAAGAGGGATTGATTGTATCGAAAATAGGTCAGAATGACTTGAAATCGTCGATGGAATGAATTTGAGAAGTGAAGGATTGTTTTGAAATGATCATTTTATGCTTTTAACTGTTAGATTAACAAGGTGTAGATTCGCCAAACCTTGGCTGGGAAACCAAAAAAAAAACAAAGAATGAACAAACAATCCACGCCAAGTTACCAAATGGGTTGGCTTGACTTAGTACACCCACACCCCACGAGACACGTCTTTTTGTTTTGTTTTTCTACGGCGTGGGCCCAATTATAAATCACATCAATCAATCAAGACTTGACCACGTGGCATGGTTTCAATTAAGCATGATGGACTATAAACAGTCTGTCCCAAGACTCAGTTGGGGTGGGTCTACATAGTGAATAGAGAAGCAGACGTTTCTGCCAATTCCGCATTTACGCTTGCCCACCCAGCAGTTGTTGACGACGCTCATCTACTTGTATTTCTCCATTAATTACGCTCCTTTTTCACATCACACTTTGCCTTCTTTCCTCGGCTCCACCACTCCACATTACGCTAATCTAAACATTCTTTCTAACATGAAAAACGTTTTTAGTTGTTTTACTCCTTTCCAAACATTATTTATGAATTCATTTTCTATTTATTTTATTTTAAATTGTAATTTGTACATAAATTTTGTTGTTTTTATTTTCATAAATTAGAGAATTCAGAATATGGAGAAAAATAGTTTTCATTTTTCATAAAAATACACTGAATTAGTTTATCATAAAAGATTTGATTCACAAAAAGGTGGTTTTATTTTCTAAATTAAATATTTATGTTAATTTACCTTTCCAAATTCAAAATGGATAAAAATATATGCTGTGAAAGGTAAGTTTGTAAAGCACAGAGTTTTATCTTTTGTTAACTAAATAGGAAGAGATTAGAGAGTGAGTAGTAGTGAAGTGGAGAGAGTACTGATAAGGTACGACTCGGGATCATAGAGGAGTCATTTTGATTTTTGAGCGTCGTTATCCTACGACTAAATTTCCACGTGTAAGGCAGAGATGTGACAGGTCAGCATCCCGAAACTTGTGCGGAATCACCTGTTTCGCATCTAGCATTAAACTTTGCTTTCAAAAGCGGCAAAGTTAACTACTCTCCTCTTCTCTCACTCTAACTCAAATACTTTGAAAATTAATTTCAGCTGAAACAACAACAACAAGAAGAGGAAGGAAGAGATCTCCCCTACTTCAACTCAAAGTAAGGAATTCTCTAAAGGCGTTTCGAGATTTCTTCGCACAATATTTGTTTATATTCTTTTAAGATTAAATGAAGCTTCCTGTGATGCGTTATTCTTCTTTGGTTTTAACCGACAAAAACCTTTTAGAACCTCGTGTTGTTTTATGTGATTTGGTTTTCTTCAAATCTATTAGCGCCGTATGAAATTTTGTGTTAGCTGAATTAGAGGTTTTCGCAGTGGTGGCAGTGGTGGAAATTGTGATTAGTTTATTTATTTATTTGATGAATGTGTATGGGAATTTGAGTCATTTTCTCATATTAGATTCAGAGTGTGAAAATGCCTGAAGAGAGGAGGAGAAAGAGGCATTTTGGAAAACTTTATTCGTTTTCGTGTTGTAAGAATTTGCCTACTGACGATCATGCTCAAATTGGGCAAAGCGGGTACTCGAGAGTGGTTCATTGTAATGATCCTGATAACCCGGAAGCTCTTCAGCTCAACTATAGGGGGAATTATGTGTCCACTACTAAGTATACAGCGGCTAATTTTCTTCCCAAGTCTTTGTTTGAGCAATTTAGGAGAGTTGCAAATATCTATTTTCTAGTTGTGGCATTTGTTTCGTTTAGTCCGTTGGCACCGTATTCCGCACCTAGTGTTCTTGCACCTCTTTTAGTGGTGATTGGTGCAACTATGGCCAAGGAAGGTGTGGAAGATTGGAGGCGAAGAAAGCAGGTAAGTTTTCAAATTTCTTAACCTTTTTTCAATATTTTGTTTTGGGGCTCAATGAACGCTGGTGATTTTTTTTTTTTGGATCCATGTACGTAATTCCTTCGTACTGTAGGATCTTTGCTGGTTTTGGCTTTTATGTGTGAATTGCATCTTACGAAATCAACCTCTTTTATGCTTTAAACTATATCAGATTCTTTTGTTCACCGAGATTGAAAAAATAGTTAATTGATTTGCTATATTAGTCCATATTCGCCTTTGATATTTGACTCGGAAGTTTGATTCTAGATTCACTATAATTTCTGGTCCCGTAGTAAAAATGATTGTAATTAATGGTGTTTTCTAATGTTTATTGTAAATTTTGATTTGTATGGTGTTTATGACTATGTCCATCCTCAACTTAAGAGATTAGGTCTTGTTTCCTTTTAATTGCTACAATCATTGGATTGATCAAGATGCTTCAATGCAACACAACATTGTTTGATTATAATGCTGGGGTGAAGAAAAAAACATGTTTTAAAGGCATTACCAGTAAAAAATCATAAACTGTAGTTCGTGAACAGGAAAGTTTTGGTAAATTTCTTCCTCTGTCCATTTAGGACACTTTTACAGTATTGTATGATAACAAATAATTATCATATTCTTGGATTGGAACTCGTTGTGGATAAAGTTTTCCGACTCACAGAAAATTTCCATCATAATATCCCATGTAAAAGCAGTTATGTCAGCAGTTAGCTTCAGTGTAGGAAGTCATTTTATATGCATATTTCACTTTCGGATGAAGTTAAAATTGAACTGCAATCTATTTTATATTACTTGTGTTCTTTTTTTCATTAGATTTAGGTTTCTTCTGCAATCCTTCATATATGCTTTGGTAAAGTGTCACGGAAGTTTATCTTGTTACTTTTAACATCTTTTTTCTTTCTTATCCCCTATTGGCACCTTTATTTATTTATTTATTTTTAATTACTGTAACTCATGTCTAATATATAAGACATTTTTGAAATGGTTTCAGGATATAGAAGCCAACAATCGCAAGGTCAAAGCGTATGGTAAAGGTCATACTTTTATTGAGACCAAATGGAAGAATCTCCGGGTAGGTGATATTGTTAGGATTCATAAAGATGAATATTTTCCTGCTGATCTGCTACTGCTTTCATCAAGCTCTGAGGATGGGATATGTTATGTTGAGACGATGAGCCTTGATGGAGAGACCAATTTGAAATTGAAGCGTGCCTTGGAAGTGACATACTCTTTACGTGATGAAAAATCCCTTCAGAATTTTACAGCAATGGTCAAGTGTGAGGACCCAAATGAACATCTGTATTCTTTTGTTGGAACATTGTTCTATGATGGCAAAACATTTCCGCTTTCACCACAGCAGATTCTTTTGAGGGATTCCAAGCTGAGAAACACTGATTATATCTATGGTGTAGTTGTTTTCACCGGACATGACACAAAAGTGATGCAGAATGCTACAGATCCTCCTTCCAAGAGGAGCAAGATTGAGAGGAAAATGGATAAGATTGTGTATGTCCTTTTTAGTACTCTTATTTTCATATCATCTAGTGGATCTGTGTTTTTCGGAATTAAAACTAAAAAAGACATCTCTAATGGAAAGATTAGGCGGTGGTATCTTAGACCAGATGCAACGACTGTGTTTTATGATCCCAGAAGAGCGACACTTGCTGCATTTCTTCATTTCTTGACAGGCCTTATGTTGTATGGATATTTAATACCAATATCATTATATGTCTCCATTGAGATTGTTAAGGTTCTACAAAGTATTTTTATCAATCAAGATCGTGATATGTACTATGAGGAAGTAGACAAGCCAGCACATGCTCGAACATCTAATTTAAACGAGGAACTTGGTCAGATTGATACTATACTATCTGATAAAACTGGTACTTTGACATGTAATTCCATGGAATTTGTCAAATGTTCAATAGCAGGCATTGCTTATGGCCGTGGTATGACAGAAGTAGAGAGGGCTCTGGCCAAGAGACGAAGGGATAGGCTATTTGAAGTTGATGATTCTATAACTGATGCAGGCCAAAATAGTAATAACATTCAGTCAGGGAAACCGGTTAAGGGATTCAACTTCAGAGATGAACGCATAATGAATGGACAGTGGGTGAATGAACCACATTCAGATGTCATACAGAAGTTTTTTCGACTATTAGCAATTTGCCATACAGCAATACCTGATGTAAACAAAGAATCGGGTGAAATTACTTATGAAGCTGAATCACCGGATGAAGCAGCCTTTGTCATAGCTGCGAGGGAGCTTGGCTTTGAATTCTTTGGAAGCACACAAACAAGTATCTCATTGCATGAGTTAGATCCTGTGAGTGGTAAAGTGGTAAAAAGGTGAGATTCTGGGTTCATTTTATGTTGTCCTTAATCAGAAAAAATATTAGATTGCCCGCCTTCATTTAGGAAAGAATTAAAGAACTGATCTGCAGTAATCGGTTTCAGTATAGTTTACTTTCTGCTGCCTGAAACCCTAATCAATATGCTAAAAGCTCTGCATGATAGGCACTAAAGACAGATTTTCTTTTCAAACTCTGGGTGCTTGCATGTGCACATGAAGTTTGTATTCTTTTGTTAATTGAAGCTTTATATATTAGAAAACTAAGCTTTGCCTTTTCCGCATCCCACCTATACTTTGAATTGCACAATAAATGTGATGCTACAGAAGTTTTTTTTAATCCTTATCTATGGGAGAGGACTTTCAAAACTGGTAGCATGGTTTCTATTTGCTTAAGAGGAAATTAGTTTTTGTATGACTATTTGATATGGTAAACGAACTTTAAGAAGAAAGATAGGACTAAAATGGAATNACTGATCTGCAGTAATCGGTTTCAGTATAGTTTACTTTCTGCTGCCTGAAACCCTAATCAATATGCTAAAAGCTCTGCATGATAGGCACTAAAGACAGATTTTCTTTTCAAACTCTGGGTGCTTGCATGTGCACATGAAGTTTGTATTCTTTTGTTAATTGAAGCTTTATATATTAGAAAACTAAGCTTTGCCTTTTCCGCATCCCACCTATACTTTGAATTGCACAATAAATGTGATGCTACAGAAGTTTTTTTTAATCCTTATCTATGGGAGAGGACTTTCAAAACTGGTAGCATGGTTTCTATTTGCTTAAGAGGAAATTAGTTTTTGTATGACTATTTGATATGGTAAACGAACTTTAAGAAGAAAGATAGGACTAAAATGGAATACAGGTTGGTAAATATAAGAAAAATCTAGGTCTTCAGGATTTTTTAAAAAAAAAAAAAAAAAAAAAAAAAAAAAGATATAAAGAAACATTACCTTAGATAGTCTAATTAAGCATTACTGTAGATAAGGAAACATCTTACATTAGAGAATGGTTTTCTAGGAACAATATTATCATTTTCTTTTTCTCTCTTTGTTTGGCTGTCAAACTGAGAAAACTATGGCTTTATTCTGTGCTTCAATAATAGGAAAGCTGCAGATAAAACTACCATCTTAAGGTGTCACAAGTTCTGCTTTAATCAATATGTATATTATTTTTTATTTTTGTATTTCGTTTGATGAAATTAAGTCAACATGTTATGTGACTCAGTTCTATTTTCCAGGGTATACGAGCTTCTTCATGTGTTGGAGTTCACTGGTTCTCGCAAGAGAATGTCTGTGATTGTGAGGAGTCCGGAGAAGCAGTTGTTGCTCCTTTGCAAGGGTGCAGACAGGTTAAAATCCTGATGCACAGGCACCACCTCCTTGAATTTATGAAGTTGTAAATTAGTGAACTGATATTGTATGATTTGTGTGCATGTAGTGTGATGTTTGAAAGGCTCTCAAAAGAAGGACGTCTCTTTGGGGCTGAGACCAGAGTACACATCAACAGATATGCTGAAGCAGGTCTACGGACATTGGTAATTGCATACCGTGAACTTGAGGAACACGAGTATAGAAGATGGGAAGAGGAGTTTTCAAAGGCCAAAAATTCTCTGACTGCAGATCGAGATGCTTTGGTGGCTGCAGCTGCTGATAAGATAGAAAGGAATTTAATTCTTCTTGGTGCTACTGCTGTTGAGGACAAACTACAAAAGGGGGTCTGTTTCAAACTTGAATCTCTTTTACCTAGTTCAGGATGTGTAGCCTCTATTATTGTTGTTGTCTGCTGGTAATTATTCAAATGAATGATTCATTAAGTGCTGCTCCTATTTAACAACCTGCTGTTGATACAGTTTTTATCTCCATAATCTTTTTGAAATGCACAAGACATCTTAACCAATATCAAGAAGATGCTAATTACTGTAGGAAAAGGGAGAAAAAAAGCAGTGGCTGTCTGTTTTAGGAGAACTCATTGGTTAATTTAAATTTTTACTGCTTTCTTTTGTGCAGGTTCCAGAATGCATTGACAAGTTTTCACAGGCTGGAATACATATATGGGTCTTAACTGGTGATAAAATGGAAACTGCAATAAATATTGGGTATGTTATCAATTTGATGCTAATGTATCTTGTTTTTTCTATTCAGTATGGAATTTACATATTACAAATATTAAGTATCATATATTCTGCAGGTATGCCTGTAGTCTACTGAGACAAGGAATGGAGAATATTGTGATCACTCTAGACACACCAGAGATAGAAGCTTTGGAGAAGCAAGGGGATAAGGAGGCCGTTGCTAAGGTACATAATTCTAAAATTAATTTCATAATAATCTGATCTGTAGGAATCTGAAAATGGGCATTGTTTTAGGCTTCTCTTGAAAGTGTGCAAATGCAAATAACAGAAGGAAGATCTCGAATTCCTTCAGATAAAAATAATCCAGTCAAGTTTGGTTTGGTAATTGATGGCAAGTCACTGGATTGTGCTCTGGATGAGAAGCTAAGCAACATGTTCTTGGATCTTGCACTCAACTGCTCCTCTGTTATATGCTGTCGCTCTTCACCCAAACAGAAAGCTCTTGTAAGGCTCATGATTGGCTGTTAGTTAAATTAATATCGTTGTGGTGGAAGTTGTCAGCTTTTACTGGCATCAAAATAATCTGATAGAATTCTAGATAATTGCAGGTTACAAGACTGGTGAAAGGAACAGGTAAAACAACACTAGCAGTGGGCGACGGGGGAAATGATGTTGGTATGCTTCAAGAGGCTGATATTGGAGTCGGCATCAGCGGTGTTGAAGGAATGCAGGTCAATGTTTCTGTGTGTCTGTGTCCATGCTTGCACGCTTGCTACATCTCTTTATGTCTGTTTTGAGATGGTGTATGTTGTTTTATTGTCAAATTTTATTCCATAGTTACAGAGCCTTGGCTACCAGCTTTTTTATTTGACTCTGAAATTTATGGCTTTTGATGTGATTCCTTGTCAATAGCATGCATTTTTGTTGCGTGGAGCTTCTGATATCAATTCTTTTATACCCATATTGACATTTTTTTTTTTTACCTCTTTGCACAATTTCTGCCATTCAGATGTCTATTTGAATGACAAGTATGAATCACTCTCTAAGACATTTTTTTTTTGGCACAATTCTGACATCAGAGTCTGTTTGAATGATAAGTATGAATCACTCTCTAAGTATCAAATCATTTTATATACGTGTGAAGGACAGAATTCAGTGTTTATACATTCTGGGTGGAAATGAGTTAGATAGCATAAAATTTCTATGAATTATTAAAGTAAACAGAATGAACTCTTAAGTTTAAAACACCAGATCACCAATCTTGGAACTCATCAGCAGAGATTGGGTTATGAACTTACCAAGCTCACCCTCCCAGGACCTAGTTTTAGGAGACCGCATCTGGTAATGACCTCTATGGTGATGCAGGAGTTGGTTCATACCCTAGTTAGTTCACCGCCAATATTCTTCCCTTTTGCAATCTGACTGAACCTTGCATCTCTACTTGATCAGTTCTGAAAAGGTTTTGATTTTGATTAATTGTTTATCAGAATGATGAATAAAACTTACTATGTAATTCAAATGTTCCCTCTTTATGTGAGGATTGAATTTCAGATTTCGTTGCAATCTTTAAACAGGAGTTGACAACATTCTCGCTTGATTGAGATTTTGCATGACCATCCAAGCCCTTAGCTGTTTAAACTTTTAAGTTCTTAAGAGGGATTGGTTTTGGTGGAATGATTGACCCTATACCTCTGACATTGAACTTTCCCCTCTGTATTTGCACTCTGGGATGAACTGTTTAAAATATCAATTTCTGTGGCTTCTTTAAGGATTTAACTGCTGCATAGATTTTTCTCTCTCAGATCCATTAAGTGATTTTGAATGTATGTTTTGGATAGATTGAGACATGTTTTCCTCTCTCTCTCATATAATGAACCCCAACCCACCCCCCACAACCCACCTTAGCTTTTGCTCCTGTAGATGTTCACTTTTTCTATCACTACTTTGAGAATTGATTGCAGTTCTACATCTTCTCTCTGAAATTTCAGTCTATTTGAAATCTTTAACCATAGTTTTCATCTCCAGGGATGCTTATTAATATCTTTCCAAGCCCAACCTAAATGATTTATAATCTGGTTTCTGATTTGGTTGTTTCTTCAAGTGCAGGCTGTGATGTCAAGTGATTTTTCAATAGCTCAATTTCGTTATTTGGAACGTCTGTTGCTGGTGCATGGCCATTGGTGTTACAGACGAATAGCAATGATGGTAAAACTGTCTCATGATATTGGCTGCTTTCTAGAGATAATTGGATAAGCTTTCTGGTTTATATATAAGAAACTGAATGAAATTTTGGCAACAATCAACACAATGCTTCCTTTGAGTTTCATATATAATTTATATTTTTGTGGATGCAGATTGTTATTTTTCTAAAGAACATCACATTTGGGTTCACTCATTTTGGTTTGAGGTCTAGCTTCATTTTCTGGTCAGCCAGCATACAAGATTGGTACATGTCATGCTACAATGTCTTCTCACCTCACTTCCTGCCATTGTCTTGGCGTTTTTGATCAGGATGTTTCAGCAAGAACTCTGCCTCAAGGTATGCACTATTTTTATTTGAAAATTAAAAGGAAAACCGAAATATATATATTATATATTAACAGTGGAAATAACAAAAAGAGCATTTGTAGATTATCATACGGATCGCAAAACTAATATGTGCTCTACAAGATATGATATAGTCAACACAGGACAACCAAAACGGACATCTATTGCAGTATAAAGGGGAACAGTAAGAAAAATTCCTGACACTGTTTCTGGTTGTAACAATTATAAAAAAGAAAACGTTTTATTAATAGCAATGACATGCTTTTAATCAAAACCCTACTCTGAGGCTCCTACCTCATGAACTGTTTCACTTCTTGCTTCAAGTTATTTTCTCCCACATTAGGTTCCTTGTTTGGTATTTATTTTTAACTTCTGATGGAATTTCAAATGCATTTCTCTATTCAGTAGGAGCCGGTGACATTTTTGAATATCAGCATTACTAATATTCTTTTGCCTGAGCTTCTATTTGCATTTCCAAATCATCTGTGTTCCATGCTTCTAGGAATAGACCATGTTGCAAAGCCATTCCAGAGGATTCCTTCAAACCTCGTATATGTTGAGTATACTTATATAATAGGCTTTATCTTTGCTATAATTATATTTTTATGTGAATCCAATATATTATTCGATTATTATCCATGAACTTTAAGGTGACTATGATATTGCTATATTGTTAAATATCAAAGTTCCAACCTTATTCCTTTTATGCGCCATTAAGGCCGGAAGTGCTAACTACATCGTTTGGCAGTATCCTTTGTTGTATCAAGAGGGAGTACAGAACATCTATTTAGCTGCGCTCCGATTTTGGATGGATGTCTAATGGAATTTTAGTTCCATAATTATCTTCTCTTCACCACCAACTCCATTTTTAACCAAGCTTTCCGGACAGACGGTAAAGTGGTCGATATGAAGTCTTTGGCGTCACAATGTATACGCGTAGTGTGGGTTGTCAATTGCCAAATGGCACTCTCCATCAACTACTTCACTGGATCCAGCACTCTTTCATCTGGGGAAGCATTGCCTTGTGGTATCTGTTTTTAGTGATTATGGTTCTCCCAAAACGTTTTCGACAACAGCATACATGGTTCTTGTCGAAGCATGTGCTCCGAGTCTACTCTATTGCTCACCACCCTTCTTGTGTTGTTTCACTCTACTACCATATTTTTCTACAGGGCTTTTCAGGTGCGATTTCGACCAATGATCCATGACATCAATCAACAGGAGGGATTGAAAGACCAGGATACTGAAACTAGTGAGTTGCCTGCCAGAGTGGAAGTCAAAATGCATCATTTGAAGGCAAATTTGATGCAGAGGAACACATGAAACTCAACTGAACTCAAACATGTCTGACCAAGTTACTAAGGTTGTGTGGTTTGACAGCTACAGTGGCAGTTTAAAGATAGGGAATAGGTTGGAATATAAGTAAAACTTTGTGTACAATAGAATGTGTAAAGCTGATTATTAAAGTTCAAGGCTTTTTATGTCTATCTGATCTTTGCTCTGGAGACCCTCTTCTCCAGAGCCAAGAATGTGTAATTGTCTCATCGTTTGGTTGTGTATAGAAGGTTTTGCATAATTCCAGAAAATTAGTGGGTTTTATTTATCACATGACATATAGTTATAATTATAATTAAATAATTGCCGCAAAAATCAAACATATGTAAATCCTTTGTATAGACTATGTAATCTAAATTGATAATTTAGATTTCAATTATACAAAATATGAGATTCTCATTTATAATGCAATATCAAATAAGATGATACATTATTTAGGAATAAATTTTGTGATATATTTTATAATATATGTATTATTTAGTGCAAAATAAAAAGTTAGTTTGTTGACAGCAAATTTAATATAAGAGTTATTACCATCAATGCTATTATTTATCTAAATATATTATTATTTACAGTAATTGTCAGGTAACCTTACAGTCAACTTGGGAGTTTTTTTTTCCACGATTTAATTAGCTGGTTTTAAGGTGTTATAAAACAATTATTTGTCAGATTTTTTATACACTGATTTTAACTGGCTCAAAAACCCCTAGAACCAGTGTAGTATATTTTTGAGAGGTTATAAAACACCTATGGGGATTTTTGGTTGTTTTAAAATTTTATTCTACAAATACCCATCCATATAAAACCATCCCAATTATATCAAAAAAAAAAAATTTATATATTATGCGTGTCTTCAACCATATTAAATATAAAAATTTTAAGCATGTAAAAAAAAAAAATTATTAAAATCTTATTTCTAGATGCTTTCTTGAAGAAGTGGATTATAATTTTTCAATCATTCAGATATTGCAAAGAATGACGAAGAAGGATAAGAGATTTTATCACATTTAAAGTTATAAAATACTAATAAGTAGAAAACAAATAAAGAACTCTACCTTGTAATTGAAAAAACAAAACCCTTAAGTACGGGTTAAAGTATAATATTTTTATGAATATATATGTAAATTTATTATTTTAAAAATTCATCAGATCATTGAAAAATAAACTTTCAAATATAGATTAGGTGTTTAAAAACTCTTCAAAATTACTATGATAATTATCCTCAAAACCGTTAGATGGATTAGCCTCCCAACCTCTGCATAAAACTCGCAATTATGCCTTAGGTAAAAACAAAACAAAACTGGAGTGATAATTGAAATGTGTAACGTAACGTTTTCATTCTAATTACATGTCCTTAGATCAGCCGGCTAGAGGTTGCTCTTACTTTTTCCACCGTTGGATAAAAAAGTTAACAGCGGAAAGACCTGGAAAGCTCTGGAATTTTCGCTCTGGTGTTAAACCAGTCGTGAACTGAAGAGAACTACTTCGAGACTTCGCTTTTTTTTTTTTTCTTCAAATAGTTTGGTTTGATCTCAATTTGAGGCACCGACGAAACGCCAGGCTTCAAGGTCAGTTTCTTCAATTTCTATTTACAGTTGATAAATTGGTTCAAATATGTTGAGATTAAGAATTAGGCGCTTTTTTGTTACCTAATTGCTGATAAATGTGCATCATGGGGAATACTAGTTATCGCGGAACTTAAATTTAAGTTTTCATATGCAAGGTTTGAAAATCACAGTTTAGAGATGGTGAAAAAGCCTCTCTTTGATAACATCATCTTGCAAGACGAGTATTTTTATTCTGTCAAAGATGAGCTAATACTTGATTACAGACAATGCATACACATTAAAATGATGCTATTTTTGATGTCTTTCACCAAGGGCTAGTCTTTTTTTTTTTTTTTTTGGACTTAACCTTACAATCACAAATTCCATATCTGTATAGGTTTGAGATTTGTTGTGATGGGCAGCTGCTCCAAGTACATTGATATATAATTTAACTGAATATCATTTAGGGTTGTATTGGATAAATTACGAATATTATCCCACAGAGGCCTCTTCTAGACAAACTATCAGACTCTTCTTTGGTTTTGTTCAACTGTTGAAATTCACTGTGACATTCCTTGCTCGAAAGATCGACAATGTTTGGAGTTGTTTTCCCAAACCGGAGCTTCCCTATGGACATCTCTACCTTCTCCCAAATAAAACATTCCATTGGATACTAGACATGAACACTTTCGTAGGTAAATTACTTGTCTCTTGTCATCCTACATTGCACCTGGCACATTTTAATCACTGCCTGATTGTGTAATTCTAACTAGCTCAGGCGAGGCATACGATCAAGTCCGAGAAATCTGCATATTCCTTTTAAACAACTTTACTCTACCCCTGATAAAGCTTTAGCTGTCTACATTCAGTCACCTGGGTCACCATTTTTATTTTGTGGTGCTGTTACTTTAGCCCCCTTCAGCCGTGCTGTCACTTCCATGGCCTGAGCCTGGGGGACAGATGCAGCTGACCGCACCAGATTCCACCCCACTATCTGCGAAAATTGGGTTTCTGTTGAAGATTTAGCGTCACTGCCATCATTGGATGTGGTGGCTGAGAAGAGGATTGAACGGCTGGCTATGAAAGTCGGGGAGAACTTGTTTAACTTTATGCAGTCCTTTTGTGGGTGTTGATGGCTCCAAATTGATTGTTCCTTATGGACTTTTGGACCGCTGGTTTAAGAAGTTTCAAGAAAAGGCTAAGCGCGATCCTGAGTACCTAAAAGGTTTTGTACTGTAATCTCACCTTCTGCTTTTTACTTGTTTGGAGTTATAATTTAAGTTAATGCATTCTGATATCAAGGAGTTTTCCTTTCATCTTGTTGTCTCTCTATCCATTAGGTTTTTTTTTCCCCGAATCAGAATGGTTTTTGTTTGATAATGGCGTACATTGTTGTTGAAATTAGAGAATAGTGTTTGGTTCCCTATTTCTATCCATATTCCCAATCCTATTCCCCAAATATTGTTTGGCACATTATTACAGAAATATTATTATATTTTTTTTAATTATTTTTAGACCCCTTAAGTTTATTAATTTCATAACACCTCCAGAAAAAAAGTTTAAAAATTAGCAAAAACAACCCCACCCACCCATTCTTGCCAGATTCTGGCAAACACCGTCGGTGGTAGCTGGAATTTATCACAACGGTTTACATCTCGATCGAAACTGACTAATAATTCACCGATCTGGCCTTTTCCGGCCAGATCCATTGTGGATTTGGCTAGAAATGGCCATTTCCGGCCAGATATTTCTGGCCAGATCCACAGTGGATCTGGCCGGAAAAGGCTAGATTGCTGATGGCCATTTCTTTGGCTGTTGCTGATCGATAATAACGGACATATCTTTGGCTGTTGCTGACGGCCAATGATGGGCTTTTACGGCCGTCGACGATCACATCTGGTTGTAGATCTGGTTTTTTTGGGTCAGATTTGTGGTGGATCTGACCGAAAAAGGCCAGATCTACGCGTTACGACACAGATCCGATCGGTCTGTGTTGTAACGCAATTTTTCGGCCAGATTCTGACAGTGGTGTTCGGAATCTGGCACTGTGGATAGTGGGGGTGTTTTTGTCATTTTACAAAAATTTTACATATTGGGGTGTTTAATTAAATTAGCAAACTTATGGAGTTTTTTAGAAATTTTTAAATTTTACCTCGTAATACTCCCCTATCCAACTGTTCAATATTATTTCCAAAATTTTATCCAAAATAATAAATCAAACGCACTCATATTTTATTATATACTTTTAGGAGTATAATATGTTATCATCATTATTGTAATTATAAATAAATTATACATAAACTTGTTATATGTAACATCCAGTTAAACAAGTAGCAAAATCTAATAAGTAGAAAAACAATAAAGAACTCTTACCTTGTAATTGAAAAAACAAAACCCTTAAGTACGGGTTAAAGTTATATTTTATGAATATATTGAAATTTATTATTTTAAAAATCAGAATCATTGAAAAATAAACTTTCAAATATAGATTAGGTGTTTTAAAAACTCTTCAAAATTACTATGATAATTTATCCTCAAACCGTTAGATGGATTAGCCTCCCAACCTCTGCATAAAACTCGCATTATGCCTTAGGTAAAACAAAACAAAACTGGAGTGATAATTGAAGTGTAACGTAAACGTTTTTCAATTCTAATTACATGTCCTTAGATCAGCGGCTAGAGGTTGCTCTTACTTTCCACCGTTGGTAAAAAAGTTAACAGCGGAAAGATGGAAAGCTCTGGTTTTCGCTCTGGTGTTAAACCAGTCGTGAACTGAAGAAGAACTACTTCGAGACTTCGCTTTTTTTTTCTTCAAATAGTTTGGCTTTGTCTCAATTTGAGGCACCGACGAAACGCCAGGCTTCAAGGTCAGTTTCTTCAATTTCTATTACAGTTGATAAATTGGTTCAAATATGTTAGAGATTAAGAATTAGGCGCTTTTTTGTTACCTTAATTGCTGATAAATGTGCTTCCATGGGGTAATACTAGTATCGCGGAACTTAAATTTAAGTTTTCATATGCAAGGTTTGAAAATCACAGTTAGAGATGGTGAAGCCTCTTTTGATAACATCATCTTGCAAGACGAGTATTTATTCTGTCAAAGATGAGCTAATACTTGATTACAGACATGCATACACATTAAAATGATGCTATTTTTGCATGTCTTTCACCCAGGGCTTTTTTTTTTTTTTTTTTTTTTGGACTAATTACATCACAAATTCCATATCGTATAGGTTTGAGATTTGTTGTGATGGGCAGCTGCTCCAAGTACATTGATAGTATAATAACTGAATTATCATTTAGGGTTGTATTGGTTATAAATTACGAATATTATCCCACAGAGGCCTCTTCTAGACAAACTATCAGACTCTTCTTTGGTTTTTGTTCAACTGTTGAATTCACTGTGACATTCCTTGCTCGAAAGATCGACAATGTTGGAGTTGTTTCCCAAACCGGAGCTTCCTATGGACATCTCTACCTTCTCCCAAATCGACACATTCCATTGGATACTAGACATGAACACTTTCGTAGGTAAATTACTTGTCTCTTGTCATCCTACATTGCACCTGGCACATTTTAATCACTGCCTGATTGTGTAATTCTAACTAGTAGGCGAGGCATACGATCAAGTCCGAGAAATCTGCATATTCCTTTAAACAACTTTACTCTACCCCCTGATAATAGTTAGTGCTACATTCAGTCACCTGGGTCACCATTTTATTTTGTGGTGCTGTTACTTTAGCCCGCCCTTCAGCCGTGCTGTCACTTCCATGGCCTGAGCCTGGGGGACAGCAGCTGACCGCACCAGATTCCACCCACTATCTGCGAAAATTGGGTTTTGTTGAAGATTTAGCGTCACTGCCATCATTGGAGTGTGGTGAGAAGAGGATTGAACGGCTGGCTATGAAAGTCGGGGAGAATCTTAACTTTATGCAGTCCTTTTGTGGTGTTGATGGCTCCAATTGATTGTTCTCATGGAGAATGCTCTTGGCGTTTTTGATCAGGATGTTTCAGCAAAACTCTGCCTCAAGGTATGCACTATTTTTTATTTTGAAAATTAAAAGGAAAACCGGAAAATATATATATATATATATATATATTAACAGTGGAAATAACAAAAAGAGCATTTGTAGATTATCATACGGATCGCAAAACTAATTAGTGCTCTACAAGATATTGATATAGTTCAACACAGGACCAACCAAAACGGACATCTATTTGCAGTATAAAGGGGAACAGTTAGAAAAATTCCTGACACTGTTTCTGGTGTAACAATTATAAAAAAGAAAACTGTTTTATTAATAGCAATGACATGCTTTTAATCAAAACCCTTCTCTGAGGCTCCTACCTCATGAACCTGTTTCACTTCTTGCTTCAGGTTATTTTCTCCCACATTAGAGTTCCTTGTTTGGTATTTATTTTGAACTTCTGATGGAATTTCAAATTGCATTTCTCTATTCAGTAGCGAGCCGGTTACATTTTTGAATATCAGCATTACTAATATTCTTTTTGCCTGAGCTTCTTATTTGCATTTCCAAAATCATCTGTGTTCCATGCTTCTAGGAATAGACCATGTTGCAAAGCCATTCCAGAGGATTCCTTCAACCCTCGTATATGTTGATATACTTAATATAATAGGACTTTATCTTTGCTATAATTATATTTTTATGTGAATCCAATATATTATTCGATTATTTATCCATGAACTTTAAGGTGACTATGATATTGCTATATTGTTACAATATCAAAGTTCCAACCTTATTCCTTTTATGCGCCATTAAGGCCGGAAGTGCTAACTACATCTGTTTGGCAGTATCCTTTGTTGTATCAAGAGGGAGTACAGAACATCCTATTTAGCTGGCTCCGCATTCTTGGATGGATGTCTAATGGAATTCTTAGTTCCATAATTATCTTCTTCTTCACCACCAACTCCATTTTTAACCAAGCTTTCCGGACAGACGGTAAAGTGGTTGATTATGAAGTCTTTGGCGTCACAATGTATACTAGCGTAGTGTGGGTTGTCAATTGCCAAATGGCACTTTCCATCAACTACTTCACTTGGATCCAGCACTTCTTCATCTGGGGAAGCATTGCCTTGTGGTATCTGTTTTTAGTGATTTATGGTTCGCTCCCAACAACGTTTTCGACAACAGCATACATGGTTCTTGTCGAAGCATGTGCTCCGAGTCTACTCTATTGGCTCACCACCCTTCTTGTTGTTGTTTCCACTCTACTACCATATTTTTTCTACAGGGCGTTTCAGGTACGATTTCGACCAATGATCCATGACATAATCCAACAGGAGGGATTGAAAGACCAGGATACTGAAACTAGTGAGTTGCCTGCCAGAGTGGAAGTCAAAATGCATCATTTGAAGGCAAATTTGATGCAGAGGAACACATGAAACTCAACTGAACTCAAACATGTCTGACCAAGTTACTAAGGTTGTGTGGTTTTGTACATGCTACAGTGGCAGTTTAAAGATAGGGAATAGGTTGGAATATAAGTATAACTTTGTGTACAATAGAATGTGTAAAGCTGATTTATTAAAGTTAAGGCTTTTTTATTGTCTATCTGATCTTTGCTCTGGAGACCCTTCTTCGCCAGAGCCAAGAATGTGTAATTGTCTCATCGTTTGGTTGTGTATAGAAGGTTTTGCATAATTCCAGAAAATCTAGTTGGTTTTATTTATCACATTGACATTTATATTTATAATTATAATTAAATAATTGCCGCAAAAATCAAACATATGTAAATATCCTTTTGGATAGACATATGTAATCTAAATTTTTATAATTTAGATTTCAATTAATACAAAATATGAGATTCTCATTTATAATGCAATATCAAATAAGATGATACATTATTTAGGAAATAAATTTTGTGATATATTTTATAATATATAGTATTATTTAGTGCAAAATAAAAAGTTAAGTTTGTTGACAGCAAATTTAATATAAGAGTTATTATCATCAATGCATATTATTTATCTAAATATATTATTATTTACATGTAATTGTCAGGTAACCTTACAGTCAACTTGGGAGTTTTTTTTTTCCACCGATTTAATTAGGCTGGTTTTAAGGTGTTATAAAACAATTATTTGTCAGATTTTTTATACACTGATTTTAACTGGCTCAAAAACCCCCTAGAACCAGTGTAGTATATTTTTGAGAGGTTTATAAAACACCCTAAATTGGGGATTTTTGGTTGGTTTTAAAATTTTATTCTACAAATACCCTATCCACTATAAAACCATCCCAATTATATCAAAAAAAAAAAAATTTAATATATTATGCGTGTCTTCAACCATATTAAATATAAAATAATTTTAAGCAATTGTAAAAAAAAAAAATTATTAAAATCTTATTTCTAGATGCTTTCTTGAAGAAGTGGAGTTATAATTTTTCAATCATTCTAGATATTGCAAAGAATGACGAAGAAGGATAAAGAGATTTTATCACATTTAAAGTTATAAAATACTAATAAGTAGAAAACAAATAAAGAACTCTTACCTTGTAATTGAAAAAACAAAACCCTTAAGTACGGGTTAAAGTTATAATATTTTTATGAATATATATGTAAATTTATTATTTTAAAAATTCATCAGAATCATTGAAAAATAAACTTTCAAATATAGATTAGGTGTTTTAAAAACTCTTCAAAATTACTATGATAATTTATCCTCAAAACCGTTAAGATGGATTAGCCTCCCAACCTCTGCATAAAACTCGCAATTATGCCTTAGGTAAAAACAAAACAAAACTGGAGTGATAATTGAAATGTGTAACGTAACGTTTTTCAATTCTAATTACATGTCCTTAGATCAGCCGGCTAGAGGTTGCTCTTACTTTTTCCACCGTTGGATAAAAAAGTTAACAGCGGAAAGACCTGGAAAGCTCTGGAATTTTCGCTCTGGTGTTAAACCAGTCGTGAACTGAAGAAGAACTACTTCGAGACTTCGCTTTTCTTTTTCTTCAAATAGTTTGGCTTTGATCTCAATTTGAGGCGCCGACGAAACGCCAGGCTTCAAGGTCAGTTTCTTCAATTTCTATTTACAGTTGATAAATTGGTTCAAATATGTTGGAGATTAAGAATTAGGCGCTTTTTTATCCTTAATTGCTGATAAATGTGCATTCCATGGGCTAATACTAGTATCGCGGAACTTAAATTTAAGTTTTCATATGCAAGGTTTGAAAATCACAGTTTAGAGATGGTGAAAAAGCCTCTCTTTGATAACATCATCTTGCACATTCAATTATGTAGAAGACGAGTATTTTTATTCTGTCAAAGATGAGCTAATACTTGATTACAGACAATGCATACACATTAAAATTGATGCTATTTTTGCATGTCTTTCACGCAAGGGCTAGTCTCTTTTTTTTTTTTTTTTTTTTTTTTTTTTTGGACTTAACCTTACAATCACAAATTCCATATCTTTATAGGTTTGAGATTTGTTGTGATGGGCAGCTGCTCCAAGTACATTGATAGTATAATTTAACTGAATTATCATTTAGGGTTGTATTGGTTATAAATTACGAATATTATCCCACAGAGGCCTCTTCTAGACAAACTATCAGACTCTTCTTTGGTTTTTGTTCAACTGTTGAAATTCACTGTGACATTCCTTGCTCGAAAGATCGACAATGTTTGGAGTTGTTTTCCCAAACCGGAGCTTCCCTATGGACATCTCTACCTTCTCCCAAATCGACACATTCCATTGGATACTTGACATGAACACTTTCGTAGGTAAATTACTTGTCTCTTGTCATCCTACATTGCACCTGCCATATTTTAATCACTGCCTAATTGTGTAATTCTAACTAGCTCAGGCGAGGCATACGATCAAGTCCGAGAAATCTGCATATTCCTTTTAAACAACTTTACTCTACCCCCTGATAAAGCTTTAGCTGTCTACATTCAGTCACCTGGGTCACCATTTTTATTTTGTGGTGCTGTTACTTTAGCTCGCCCTTCAGCCGTGCTGTCACTTCCATGGCCTGAGCCTGGGGGACAGATGCAGCTGACCGCACCAGATTCCACCCCACTATCTGCGAAAATTGGGGTTTCTGTTGAAGATTTAGCGTCACTGCCATCATTGGATGTGGTGGCTGAGAAGAGGATTGAACGGCTGGCTATGAAAGTCGGGGAGAACTTGTTTAACTTTATGCAGTCCTTTTGTGGTGTTGATGGCTCCAAATTGATTGTTCCTATGGACATTTTGGACCGCTGGTTTAAGAAGTTTCAAGAAAAGGCTAAGCGCGATCCTGAGTACCTAAAAGGTTTTGTACTGTAATCTCACCTTCTGCTTTTTACTTGTTTGGAGGTATAATTTAAGGTAATGCATTCTGATATCAAGGAGTTTTCCTTTCATCTTGTTGTCTCTCTATCCATTTGGTTTTTTTTTCCCCGAATCAGAATGGTTTTTGTTTGATAATGGCGTACATTGTTGTTGAAATTAGAGAATAGTGTTTGGTTCCCTATTTCTATCCATATTCCCAATCCTATTCCCCAAATATTGTTTGGCACATTATTACAGAAATATTATTATATTTTTTTTAATTATTTTTAGACCCCTTAAGTTTATTAATTTCATAACACCTCCAGAAAAAAAGTTTAAAAATTAGCAAAAACAACCCCACCCACCCATTCTTGCCAGATTCTGGCAAACACCGTCGGTGGTAGCTGGAATTTATCACAACGGTTTACATCTCGATCGAAACTGACTAATAATTCACCGATCTGGCCTTTTCCGGCCAGATCCATTGTGGATTTGGCTAGAAATGGCCATTTCCGGCCAGATATTTCTGGCCAGATCCACAGTGGATCTGGCCGGAAAAGGCTAGATTGCTGATGGCCATTTCTTTGGCTGTTGCTGATCGATAATAACGGACATATCTTTGGCTGTTGCTGACGGCCAATGATGGGCTTTTACGGCCGTCGACGATCACATCTGGTTGTAGATCTGGTTTTTTTGGGTCAGATTTGTGGTGGATCTGACCGAAAAAGGCCAGATCTACGCGTTACGACACAGATCCGATCGGTCTGTGTTGTAACGCAATTTTTCGGCCAGATTCTGACAGTGGTGTTCGGAATCTGGCACTGTGGATAGTGGGGGTGTTTTTGTCATTTTACAAAAATTTTACATATTGGGGTGTTTAATTAAATTAGCAAACTTATGGAGTTTTTTAGAAATTTTTAAATTTTACCTCGTAATACTCCCCTATCCAACTGTTCAATATTATTTCCAAAATTTTATCCAAAATAATAAATCAAACGCACTCATATTTTATTATATACTTTTAGGAGTATAATATGTTATCATCATTATTGTAATTATAAAAAAATTATACATAAACTTGTTATATGTAACATCCAGTTAAACAAGTAGCACTTGAAACATTTATCGATAAGAAACTTTTGTAGTAGTCTCCAGTCTTTCACAGCACCAGGGTGTATCCCGGCCTGAGAATTTTCCAAGCCAACCGTGCAGACATTCACTTCGATGCTAAAATAACTCATTGAGGCGAAGACATAGCATGTTGAATTTAATGATTCAAGTCTGAGTTTCCTTAAGATTCCAAGAGATAAAAGAATGAGAAATTAGGGATGTAAAAAAATTTCGGCCTGGCTGGACGTAGGTATATTAGGCAAGGTTTTGCAGGATTACAAATAACTCTTTAGAGGCGTTTGGATCATATAATGTTTTATTATAGGGGGATATTATATTAACGGAATAAAAGATTATCTTGAAGATTACTAGGAATGTTTAGAAAATGTGTTTGGTTGATTCGAATATATTGGTGAATAATATGTTTGATTGAAAGGATAAATGGGTGGGTATGTTCTATAGATTACTAAATTACCCTCCTTTTTAAATATTAATTTAACAGTATTTTTTGAATAATTTCTTTTAACCTCCTATTTTTCAGATTGAGCAAAAACACCCTAGCAACCAAAAACGTTTTAAACTTAACAAAAACATCCCTACCCACCCCAAGCCACTGCCGATAACCAGCCACCACTATTGGTAGTGCCACAGATCTGGCCGTGAAATGGCTAAATCAGTCGTCGTTTTATAGTCACATGCTTGGCCGTGAAACGGCCACAGAGCTGGTTGTGATATGGCTTTTTTGGACAGATCCATGGTCAGAAAAATCCTCACCGACGCACGGTCGGCCATATACGGTCGGTCATATGCCATTATTGCGACTTTTGGCAACCTCTAGTGGCGATCAACGGTAGTTGCCGGTGGTGATTAGTTCTAGGTATAAAGACATTTCTGTGAATAATGATAATAACAAAGGCAATGTCGTTTGAAAATTTTAAAAAGCGAGGACAAAAGTGTCTGCATGAGTGATTGAGTGTTTTGTAAATATTAACAAATATAAGGTTAATTTAGACCAAATGCTCAACTGTTTAGGGGCAATATGAGAAAAAAAATTGCAATACCGGGGTAAGTTTTAATAACAGCCCCCCTGTAGGTATTAAGATTACCGGAAATTTACCTCTCAAATGCTACTGTTTGTCATAAAATGTTTTGTGAATAATTTTTTACACATTTTTTACAAACCAACCAAACATCGTCATCTGCTTAATTTAAAAAATATTATCTTAGTTATCTAATATTAACTCGATCCAAACGGCCCCTTTATATAAAATTTAAGAAAACCGTCTATAAGTTTCAGAAAGCCTCTATAAACTATGACCAATTTTCTTTTATAATGTAAAATTATATAACCCTTGCATACAAAATTACGTCTATTCTCATCTATTAAGTAAAATTTCTAAAAATCTTCTTATAATATCAACCAAACCAGGTCTAAAGCCCGGGTAGGCCCAGCCCAGGTGCGGCCTCGGCTTCTCGGGTTCGAACTTACAGTTTTATAAAGCACGTGCCCGATATCTTAGTTCACCCCTTCTCTTTCCATGACCTCTTTTCTCCCTAAAAACACCCAAATCATTCTACGTGTCAAGTGCATGAGCATTTTTATGTCCAAACAAAGCTCTTTATCTATCATTTTCACACCAAATCTTAGTTCACCCGTTCTCTTTCTATGACCTCTTCTCTCTGATAACTTTTTCCCAGATTATATATATTCATCGCCAATGTTCGAATTCTCTTGAAGCGGGCCTTGGAATTCGAAAACTCAGACCGAGGAGACCGAAAACCATGGCGAGAAAAGTTGCGTTGTTTCTTTCCATAGTAATGGCGCTCGCCTGCTTGAATATTAGAGTTCAGGTTTCTGCTGAGGATACCGAAGATATTCCTATCCACGGCGCCCGGTTTCATGAACAAATGCGCCAAATGCGGGAGTTTAAAGACTTTCAAACTTGATGGCGTATAATTAACAGGAGATCGGTGGAGCCGTATGCATATATTGCAACACGTATTTTGGACATGTTGCTATATATGCATTATGGTGGAACTTTTCCACCGATTTTCTATTAATTATATGCCAAAAAGTTGGACTGTCAAAACAATGAGAGGAATATTAATTACTCAATAATAATAATATTAGTCAACACATCAATGATCAAATCAACGATCTCAGACAAGATCAATAAGTTTATTTAATTACAATACCTAAATTCATAAAAGCCAGGTAATGGAGTTGATATATTTATCAATATTCTGTTACTATGATCATTAGAATAAAGGAAGGGTATGCTCTCTGCCTCTAAATTACTTGATTACCAACACTCAAAAAAGGCCAAGATATTGTAAAGCCACCAGAGGTTAAGTTATCTGCTGCATCCAACGCCTAAATTGAACGGAAATTTCATCTCTCTTTTAAATTATTTGAAAGGGAAATAGAAATGGATACAAACAATGAATCAACCCCCTAATAATACCAACCAAACCGGGTCTAAAGCCTGGGTAGGCCCAGCCCAGTGCTGCCCCGGCTTCTCGGGCCCTAACTTGCAATTTTATGAAAAAACCTGGGCCTAGCCTGAGATTTATATAGGGAAGTTTTATACCCCTATGAAGCTCTAAAATGTTGGATGTTTAGATTCTAATATTGTTATAGTCCTCAATTTACAGGCTGTAATAAGCGGCTAGGATTAAATTATTAATTGCTTGGCCTCTTCTGAAACAGCTAGTTTCCAGAACTTTCTAGAGAAGTCTGAAATCAAAAGAATAAAATTGTTTATTTTTTATGCGTTTTGAATAATATAATGTTTTATTATAAGGAAATATTATATTAATAAAAAAATAGATCACAATAAAGATTATTAAAAATGTTTAGGAAATATATTTAGTTGATTTGAATAAATTGATGAATAATATGTTTGATTGAGTAGATATATGGGTGAGTATGTTATATAAATTACTAAATTGCTCTTCTTTTTAAATATTAATATAATATTATTTTTTAAATAATTCCTTTAACCCCCTATATTTGAAATTTTGCTAAAACAACCTAGTTATATAAAATTTTAATTTGTAGCAAAATCACCCCCATCCACTTCAAGCCATTACTTAGTAATCTTTTAATAACAGTCCTAGGGAGGGTATCAGATTACTCCCTAATTACCAACAGTAAACACTGTTTTAAATAAAAGATACCCCTAATATTTTATCACTTGTAAACTAAACACCAGAATCTTGCAAAACAAACAAAAATTACTCTCGTTATCTTATATACCATTGATCCAAATGTACCATTGATGGTAAAAGAGCAAGAAGAGGATTTAACATGGTCTCCCAAGTTCGAGTCTTCTTGAAGATAAAAGAGTAAGAGGAGAATCTAATATAATCTTCCGAGTTCGAGTTCCCACAGTTACTAATAGAGGTGGTCACTAGAGCTCTTATTCTGGTGATAGTTTTAAGGGATTAATTGAGATGTGCATAAACTGGTCTCGACTTTCCGATCATTAAAAAAAAAAAAAAAATTTGTTTATCCCAACTTTATATCTTAATTAAGTTACGTGTTAATGATTGAATTAAAGTAATAATTAATCATGAGATAAATTATGATACTGTTTTAGATAAGTTGTACGTATAATATTTTTGGAGTTCCAAAAATCTTTCAAATGTCAATTAACACTTCAGTTCTAAAAAAATTATTAGAAACTTTTCCAGAGTGAGCCGCCAGTAAGAATATTTGTTGCAGCGGAAAGTAATTTGAATTTAATTAGTTGGAATTTGTGCTATTATCAATTTACATAACTTATTTGTGTTATACGTGACGTGGAGAGGAGTCTGTGTGTTTCTTGAGTGACACGTGTCCATTGTGGAAAATGAAATACCAATTACCAAGCTTATCATAGAATTTTAATTAATTAGCCCAAAAAGTCAACATTAATCTGGAAAGTTAAAACCTTAAGTAATTACTTAGTAAATAAGAGAAGCAGCTGGATTTTTGCACTAAACAAAATCAAGTAAATTAAAACTAATTAAGGTTATGAGAAAGTGGGATAATTATTAATAAGATGAAAATATGATTGAATCACAGCTGGAGCTGGAGATTCCATTGGGAATTGTTTTTAAAAGATTTCAACCTTGAAGGTTCCCCCTCCCCACTTGACTAAATTAAAGTGGTATGAATAATAACTTTAATGCTTTCTAGATGGTTTTTTGGTCAAGTTATTATGACTGAGATTTGGCCTGTTGTGTACCTCTTAATCCAACAATTCAATTAATAATCTCAATTAAGATCTTATATCTCACAAAATAACGACCTTCTTATAACAATAATCACATTATTTAAGATATGTTACATATTTATTGAATTACTTATTAATNTATATTTATCAATATTCTGTTACTATGATCATTAGAATAAAGGAAGGGTATGCTCTCTGCCTCTAAATTACTTGATTACCAACACTCAAAAAAGGCCAAGATATTGTAAAGCCACCAGAGGTTAAGTTATCTGCTGCATCCAACGCCTAAATTGAACGGAAATTTCATCTCTCTTTTAAATTATTTGAAAGGGAAATAGAAATGGATACAAATAATGAATCAACCCTCTAATAATACCAACCAAACCGGGTCTAAAGCCTGGGTAGGCCCAGCCCAGTGCTGCCCCGGCTTCTCGGGCCCTAACTTGCAATTTTATGAAAAAACCTGGGCCTAGCCTGAGATTTATATAGGGAAGTTTTATACCCCTATGAAGCTCTAAAATGTTGGATGTTTAGATTCTAATATTATTATAGTCCTCAGTTTACAGGCTTTAATAAGCGGCTAGGATTAAATGATTAATTGCTTGGCCTCTCCTGAAACAACTAGTTTCCAGAACTTTCTAGAGAAGTCTGAAATCAAAAGAATAAAATTGTTTATTCCTTTGGCATTTGAATTGTATAATGTTTTTATTATAAAAGAATATTATATTAATAAAAAGATTGATCACTATTTTTAAAAAATATGTTTGGTTGATTCGAATAAATTAGTGAATAATATGTTTGGTTAAGTAGATAAATTGATGGATACGTTATATACATTATTAAATTACTCTCCTTTCTAAATATTGATATAATATTATTTTTTGAATAGTTTCTTTTAACCCCCTACATTTGAAATTTTGCTAAAACAATCTAGCCATATAAAACTTTAATTTGTAGCAAAATCACCTCTACCCATCCCAAGCCATTACTGGCAGCCAGCCACCACCACCACCTGCTATCGACAGTCAACGAAATGGTGCATGAATGGCTATATATGGTCGACCGTGCACCAACAAAGCCATTTTTTGCCATGAATCACAAATCAATGGCTGTTTCATGGCCATATATGTGGCCATCTCACAACCACATCTTTGGTCATGAAACGACCATAGAAACGGTCAGATTTGGCAAAAGGCCTTATCGACGTACGACTGGTGGGATTGCCAGTTGTGCACCATTACGGCGACTAGCGCCGATGGCCAACGGTGGTTTTGGGTGATAGGGGGAATTTTTTAACTTTTAAATTTTTTTGTGACTGGGGTGTTTTAGCTAAATTCTCAAATGTTGGCGGGTTGGGTAATTGTTATTTGGGAGATATTTGAGGGCAATTGTGTATGAAGTAGTATTTAATTAAGGGCAAAATATGTATAAAAATCAGATTACCTAGTAATCTTTTAATAACAGCCCTAGGGAGAGTATTAGATTACCCCTTACATTACTAACAGTAAACACTATTTGTAACAAAAGATACCCCTAATATTTTATTACTTGCAAACCAAACATCGTAATCTTGCAAAATAAACGAAAATTACTCTCGTTATCTTATATACCTCTAATCCAAATGCACCATTGATGGTAAAAGAGCAAGAAGAGGATTTAACATGATCTCCCAAGTTTGAGTCCCCTTGAAAATAAAAGAGTAAGAGGAGGATTTAATATAATCTCCCGAGTTCGAGTCCCCACGGTTACTAATAGAGATGGTCACTAGAACTCTTATTCTGATGATAGTTCTAAGGGATTAGTTGAGATGTGCATAAACTGGCATAGACTCCCCGACCATAAAAAAAAAAATAATAATAAATAAATTGTTTGTCCCAACTTCACATCTTAATTAAGTTACGTGTTAATGATTGAATTAAAGTAATAATTAATCATGAGATAAATTATGATACTGTTTTAGATAAGTTGTACGTATAATATTTTTGGAGTTTTAAAAATCTTTCAAATATCAATGTTCTAAAAAAATGATTAGAAACTTCTCCAGACTGAGCCGCCAATAAGAATAATTGTTGCAGCGGAAAGTAATTTGAATTTAATTAGTTGGAATTTGTGCTATTATCAATTTACATAACTTATTTGTGTTATACGTGACGTGGAGAGGAGTCTGTGTGTTTCTTGAGTGACACGTGTCCATTGTGGAAAATGAAATACCAATTACCAAGCTTATCATAGAATTTTAATTAATTAGCCCAAAAAGTCAACATTAATCTGGAAAGTTAAAACCTTAAGTAATTACTTAGTAAATAAGAGAAGCAGCTGGATTTTTGCACTAAACAAAATCAAGTAAATTAAAACTAATTAAGGTTATGAGAAAGTGGGATAATTATTAATAAGATGAAAATATGATTGAATCACAGCTGGAGCTGGAGATTCCATTGGGAATTGTTTTTAAAAGATTTCAACCTTGAAGGTTCCCCCTCCCCACTTGACTAAATTAAAGTGGTATGAATAATAACTTTAATGCTTTCTAGATGGTTTTTTGGTCAAGTTATTATGACTGAGATTTGGCCTGTTGTGTACCTCTTAATCCAACAATTCAATTAATAATCTCAATTAAGATCTTATATCTCACAAAATAACGACCTTCTTATAACAATAATCACATTATTTAAGATATGTTACATATTTATTGAATTACTTATTAATGTTATTGATTTTATGTGTTTTAAATTAATGTGGAAAGTAATTAATAGGTAATATGTACCAATAACATAAGCTGCCGTGACCTTATAATAACCTAATTTTAATTTAAAAGCAACTTGGCTCAAAACAAATGTATCAACGTCATGTGTTGCGATATGTCCATTCTAGAAAGTCCACGATTAAACTTAATTTTGTGTAATTAGAGTTTTTCTTTTTATGGGGCAAGTTGCACATATATTCTTCAAGAGTTTTCCGTGATTAGTCCTTCATTATTATTATTATTATTATAATACATATTAAGTCCACATGGGTTGTAATTTTAAATTTTCAAAAAATAAAAAGATAATGAAAATCTGAAGAAATATATATTTTTTTTAATATATGGTTTTGGGAAAGTATTTTGTTTTATGAGAAGCGTAAAGTGGTTTAGGATATACAGAGAACATAGTACTCTATAATTGTTTTTATTCACAGCAAATCAATTATTTTCTTTGTTTTCAAGTCCCTACCATTAAACAAATACTTTAAAATAACAAGATATTTTGTTTAACATTTTAATTTTCCCACTTCTTTATTATTTTTACTCAATTGTCTTTATTTTAGTAAATCTTATACACAAATTTGTTTTTTTTGAAAAATTGCTAAATTTTAGAAAATAAATAGAAATATTAAGATTGATAAAAACATTGAAAATAAGGTTGGTTTCTTAGAAATGTTGAAAACGCCTTTTTCTTCATAAAGATGTAAAACGGTTTTTTTGTTTACAGGATAACTTTCTTTAAAACCAGCTCACTAAACGCTTTTAATCTTGTTTTTTAATTAGATTAACAACAAAAACAAAACAGCACTGACTTTTTACATTCCAATTAACAGTGTGTTAAATTATATCTATCTAATAAAACATAAACAAATATTATAATTATCTTTGAAACAATATATGAGTGGCTGTGAGACAATTTCAAAATTAAAACATTATAATATGATGCAATTAGTAAAAGTACATACATTATATATGATGATCATGCATATGAATTTGTATGTTGAATAGTATTATCTCATTAAAAATTATATTAATGTGAAGAAAGTTAAAGAAACGTTTAAACCAAGATTACAGGTATCATAGACGAAGCTGACACGTTTTCAACTCATTATTTTAATCTCACCTCCCTTCATTTTCTTTTTCTTTTTCACCTTCTCCACACCAACGCACGCTCTTAAACTCCATTAAAAACTTTAATACATATATATATTGTCAACCCATTTCCCAACTGAAATCTAAATCCATTCTTCCAAATTTCCAAACTTTAATTTTAAACTTGAGTCGTGTCTAGAGATGCAAGGAGATACTAATAATAACACTAGTGTTTGTTCTTCGACGGTTTCGTTTTGTCCCAGCTTCAACAGCTACTCCTCGAGTAAACTGGTTGATATTGCAGTCAAGGTTGCGGAACGACAAGAAAACGATGTTGTCAACAGTGGTATTGCGGAGGATTTCGAGTTTGTTTCCGACGGACGGGTGGGTTCTGACGCACGTGAGTTGTTCGTGGATGGGCAGATCCGTCAGGTTTTTCCAGTGTTTAATCGCGCGCTTTTGTTGAATGAAGAAGATGGGTATGATAATTATACTACTCCAAGGAAGTTGAGGGTTTCGTTGAAGAATCTGTTTGTTGAAGAAGGAGGAGGAGGAGGAGGAGAAGGTCCACCACCGCCGTCTTCACCGTCGTCTTCGGAGGAGGACGAACTTGAGGCAGTACCGGAGGACACCTACTGTGTTTGGTCACCTAAAAGAAACAATAAGGTTGCAGCATCGCCAAATAGAAGCAACTCAACCAGTTCAACGTCGTCGTTTAAAGGGTGGTTCAAGTTTCCTCGTTTGCTCAGAAGAAGCAACAGTGAAGGAGGTCACAAAGATTCCTTCCTCTTTCTTCATAAAAAGAAGACGAATGCAGATTCCGAAGCTCCGAAACAACAGGGCTCAAAAGAAGGTATGGTCAAACGAGGTGGTTATAGTAAAGTCAAACTATCGCCTCTCCACGAAGTGAAATTATCGCCTTCGCATGAAGTGTTTTTCATGAAGAACAAAGCAGTAAAAGAAGTTGATCACAAGAAGAGATCGTCATATTTGCCATATAAACAAGATTTACTTGGGTTTTTTGTGAATAACGTGAGCAGTTTAGGCAAAACCTTTGCTCCATTTTAAATGGATGGATGGAAAATTTAAACGGCCTGAACCAGCTGCAGAGAGATTTGGGTAATATTATTTTGATTGGTTTTGTTTATAAGTTTTGTAAGTAGTTAGTTTGTTTGGTATTAAAATATAAAAGGTGGGAAGTTTTTGGTTGCCTAAATGAATAAAGTACATATCATATGCATATCATTTGATTCATATAGGGATTTGTTTTAGTTATTTTCTGTTGTTGTGGAAGTGATTGAGAAGTTTAATTATTATTTTTGGTTTGGAGGGTATACGTTGGCAGTTGATATAAAATAATTGCATTAATTTTGCTTAAGAAACTGCAATACTTCTTTTTCTTCTTAATTTTCTGCAATTAAAGTTTTTTTACTTGACATTAGAAGATGAAGTGGTTTTAATTATTAATGATTCATATATATTTTACAAAATACAAGAGAAATAATGATATACTAGTCTTATATTCTTTTGCATAAAATGAGTTTTTTTATTTTTAAAGTGTAGTCCATCTAACCTTGACATTAAGCAGTTCAGGAAATTGCGAAATTGCATTTGAGGGAAAAAAAACTGCTATTTTCAATAAATGAAGGGGTTAAAAATAAAAATAAAAATAAAAATTTGACGGTGAAAATATCTAGGTCTGTTACTCTGTTAGTGTTAAATACTCGAGAGAATGTTGAGCATTTAACATTTAATAATTTTTTTTTTATTTTTTATCATAAATATACTTTTATTGGGATAAATAGATAGATGATTGAATTGGCCCAAGAGAATGTTGGCACGTGTAAAACAAGTTAAGGAAACGTGTGAACCAGAACAAAGTAAGTATCCAGGAAGAAGCTTAGAAAGATTAATTGCATCAACCATTTCCTCTTTAAATTTCATTTCATTTGCCAACGAACAACTCACGAACCCAACAACTCAACTCAACTCAACTCAACTCGTATAAATAAACTCTCCATCAACTGAAAAAACCAGCAAAATCAGAACTTTTAACAATTAACACTACACTCTCTCGTTTTAATTTTTAAATATGCAAAAAGACGATAGTGCAATTCATTCCTCTTCTTCTTCTCCCTCTTCGCTGTCGTTTTGCCCCAGCTTCAACTGCTACTCCTCCGCTAAATTAGTCGATATAGCCGCCAAGGTTAGCGAAGATGAGCAGCAGCAACAACAGCAAAACGACGACGAAGAGGATTTCGAGTTTGTTTCCATAAAAAATGATGCTGACGCGTGTGAGTTGTTCTTCGACGGTCAGATCCGTCATGTTTTTCCGGTGTTCAATCAGGATCTTTTATTAGATAATGATTATAATGATCATGATGATCAGAAGATACGGCTCCCGATGAAGAATCTGTTTATCGAGGAGGGTCCGCCGTCGTCTTCGTCATCGGATGCCGACGAACTCGAGGGCTTACCCGAGGAAACGTACTGTGTTTGGGTACCAAACAAAAACAACCCAGTTGAATCATGCCCTTCTCCTAATAGATGCCAAAAGAGCAACTCAACTGGGTCATCGTCTTCATGGGCGGCGGCGGCTAGATCATCAAAACGGTGGCTCAAGTTTCGCGATTTGCTTAAGCGAAGCAACAGCGACGGTGGCAAAGACTCGTACGCTTTTCTCAATAAACCAAAAACAAATTCTCCTCCTGATTCGAAACCGAAACAGAGCAACAGTGATGTCAAAGCCACCGGTAAAGCGAAAACCGTGTCGGCACACGAAGAGTTCTATGTGAAAAACAGAGCCATGAAACAAGGCAACAAGAAGAAATCATATTTACCATACCGACAAGATTTACTCGGATTTTTTGCTAGTAATGTTAACAGCTTAGGCAAAAGTTTTCCACCATTTTGATGGAATTCGAACTGAAAAACAACAGTTGATGAATTTCAAGAGTTTAATTTATTTATTTGTAAATTATTTTGTAGCTAGTATTAAAAATGTATATATAAATATCATGGTTGCCTAAATCAATAAAGAATAAGCACTGATTTGCAGATCATTGAATTTGGATTTGCTTAAGATTTTTTTTTTTTTAATTCTTTAATTTTTTATTTTTCAACTGGGATGTGAAAGTGATAGAGTTATAGTTTAATTGATGCTTTAAGAATATCAGTGATAATAAAATACTGGCTTATAATTCGCGACAGATAAATTTTGTTTAGTTTCTGTTAATTTGAGGTAAAATATAATTAATCAAAGCTCAATTTTGTTCTCCTTTTGCATCTGATTGTTACATCACACAAGAGTTAGGCCCCATATTTAGCTGTAACCTACCCATCCAAATTAAAGCTTTTTTTATGGCTTCTTTAATAATCCTACCTGCTCCTACTTATTAATGAAACTAGATTCTTAATTTCATATACAGTATATGGTTTCAAATCTGTATAGAATGTCATTTTGAATTTTTTACCTTTGAAATTTAATAAATTTAGAAATGAAAATAAAAACTCAATAATTCAACGTCTTAGGGCATCTCCAACAAATTTCAACTCCAACCTAGCGCCGCACCAATTTGGTGTTCAGTGTCACGTCAAATTTGGTGTAACACTGTTTTTATACATCAATTTAGTGTGGTATTGTTCAAACAGTAAAAAATATGTATATTTTTTTGTTTTTTAAATTTTGTTATTTGTATTTAAGTTAATTTGATTATTATTTATAAGTTTGAATGAATAATACATCTTTTTGAATAATCTAAAATCTTAAAAGTTTGAATGGATACTTTATCTTTTTGAATAAGCTACAAATGTTAAAAGCTTGAATGGACAACACATCTTTTTGGATAAGCCACAAATTTCAAAAACTTAAATGAACAATACATCTTTTGAAGTAAGCTATAAATCTAAAAAGCTTAAATGAACAATACATCTTTTTAAATAAGTTATAAATCTCAAAAGTTTGAATGGACAATACATTTTTTTGAATAAGCCACAAATTTCAAAAGCTTGAATGGACAATACATCTTTTTTAATTATTATTTTTTATCTAAAATTGTATTTTCTTCAACTACAAAAGCTTACACCAAATCAATTTCCAAATCATTCAACTAATATTTGATTAAATAAATGCTTAATTTTATTAAATTAGTATAATTTTCAAAGTAATTATTATTTAATAAAAAATCATTCACAATATTTAATTAATATATACAAAAATAATGAGTGAAATAAATTAATTGTTGATTATTACAATAAAAGAAAAAGAAAGAGAATATTCTTTTAAAATATTCTTTTTTGTGTAATATTTGGCGCGGTGAGTTAAAAATGCAATAGTATTTTACAGTAAAAATCACACCAATTTGGTGTCAAACTTGCACTAATTTAGTACAATGGATTGGAGATGGTCTTCTCATCATTTAATTTATGATGTATTATAGGCTGTTTACTTCAAAATTTAAATTAAAAAAAAAAGGGTAACTTTTATATCAATATGAAAGATGTGAAAGAAACCAAACAAGATTACAGTGGGTTGGATTGAATAAGCTAATTGCGTCTAAATGGGTTCATTTCCACTACAAGAGACGACGTTTGAATTGATGCTAAAAATGTATTCTACAATAAGATCACCACGTTATTCTCATAGCATTTTTTTTTTCTTCTATATAAGGGAGATTAATAGTAAACTTTGTGAAATTTAAGAAGAATCATTTGTATTTTTGGAATTACAAAATTGTTTATTATATGCAACCATTTAGCAATCCAATACTTACCACTTGCATTTCTTTTTTAATCGTTTGATGTGTAGAGTTAATCAACATTCCAAATAAAGAAGTCTCTTTGTAAAGATCGTCTCCTTTTATCCAGGGCGATACACTGACATGATCACATGTTGCTTCATGCATAATTTAACCTCATTAACTCAATTACTTCTTTTTAACGCAAGTGAATTGAAGATTACAAAATCTAATCTTAATTTTGGGTATTTAAGTAGTTTAGCTCTGTCCTAAATACACCTTTTTTCACTTAATTAATATTTAATTCTGTTAAAAATTTATAAACGTGACACGCGAGAGAATGAATCCTTTTCTTCAAATACAATACGGCATCGTTGCGTTCACGGCATTATTCATTTTGCCAAATCCTTTATTAGGATTTAGGATTTAGGTGGTGGCGCGCTACGGCCTACGAGTACGAGAAACTCGTGAAGAAGCTACAGCTTTCAAGTTCGAGTTCACATTGTGCTAGGTGGCACATTCTCATTAGCTGTTACTCATCTAGAAAAATGACTGCTACGTGTGTTGTCGGTCCTCTTGCTTAAAATATCAAACGTGAGATCTTTCCACGTGGCACCGTCAGCCAAGAAAAAAGCGAAAGAAAACCTCACGCAACCGGGCCCCAAATCCCGCCACGTGGGCCACGGATTCTTACCTCTACTCTGTGGCTTCACTTCCTCTTCCTCAATCATCCACACACACGTACGCTCTCTGCGTTTACTCATTTTCTCAGTGAGTTTGTTAACAATGTCGAATCTGCAACTCTCCGGTTGCAGAACGGCGTCGTTCGTTTCTTCGTTCTATGAAAGGAGCCTCCTGTTCTCGATCAATGGAGTTCCGGGGCAGCTCAGCGTTGGACGAAACTCTGCCAAGGTCGTTCAATACAGTAAGAACAAACTCGTTAGGGTTTACGCAATGGCAAGCAATAATAACAACTCTAATTTCAAGATGAATTTGAACGAGTACATGGTGACTTTGGAGAAACCTCTCGGTATTCGCTTCGCGGTTTCTGTTGATGGCAAGATCATCGTTCATGCTATCAAGAAAGGGGTAGCTACTTAATCAATTTAATTGTCTTCAGTTTGTTCTGGTTGTTTAAATATTTGCTGATGAATAATATTGTATTTGTATAGAGTAATGCGGAGAGATCGAGAATCATAATGGTCGGTGATTCGTTGAAGAAGGCCAGTGATTCATCAGGTGGAAGGTTTATTGAGATAAACGAATTAGACGATACAGAGTAAGGCGTTTAAGATTTTCAGTATTCAACTATATAGCTATGCCATTGTAAACTTTTGACTGAAATTTATAAGTATTTGAAGGAAGTGGCAATTTTCTATATCTTTTAATTCAGGGACTTGAATTGTGATAAACGGATGAGGCTTGGTGTTTTACATTTTGTTTAATTTATTTCCTTGAATTTGGTTTGAACAACCTTGTGAAGGTGTTAATTAATATTGTGATGCAGCCGTGCTTCATTCTATTTTTCATTATGTCCTTATGGTGAATCTGGTCCACCTGGAGTTATATTGGATTATAGTTTAGATCTCAGATCTCTCTAGTATTTCAGTAAACTATTTTCAACTAAATTCAACAGAGTTTATGTCTAGAATTACATCTTATTGCTATAGAATCTACACATTTGGTTTTCCTGGTATCATATAAGCAGGATACTGCAAAGTGACTGATTCTCATTTACTGGAATTTGGGTAGCAGTTGTCAGCGAAAACTTGCTATTGCATGCATCTAAGTGGGTTTGATATTGGCTAGCATACTTAGACTGGGTGGAAGAGTGACATACTGCTTTGCTTGCTACATCGTCTTGACCTATCATATTTTTTACTAGCAAACATGTAATTTATAGTCAAACTTTTGGCTGCTGACAATATGCTCTGTTTATCAATATCTTTTTATTTTTTCAGTTTTTGGTTTCTTCAGGAATTTGCTGACGGAGAAGACAGGATCTTTTAGCCTAGTCCTAGAGAGACCTTTCTCTCCTTTTCCAATTCATCAACTGCAAACTGACTTTGATATCTTATTCAATAAAGGTCGGATGCCTGTTGCCACTTGGAATAAAACTATTTTGGCCTCAAATTTGAAAACAACTTCTGAATGCAGTGGGAACACTGGGTTTGTTGTGTTTTCTTCTAAGTTTCTCACATCTAAGGGGTGGAAGCTTTTGGATAATCAAAATGGACATGTTCAATCTCAGAAGAATTTTCTTTCTCCACTCATAAACCAACTTGTTTGTATTTTTTCTGAAGAAGAGTCTGGAGATGGAGAATGGGCTCATGGGAGCTTCCCACTGGAGGAGTATATTAAAGCGCTGGATCGTTCTAAAGGCGAGCTATATTATAATCACTCTCTTGGTATGCGCTACAGTAAGGTGTGATTTTTAACTTCTTTGTGATCTATAGCATTTGTAACTAAGATGCTGAATAGAATGTTCTCATTTCCTCATACATATTAGTGTTCATTTTGTTAGATTACAGAGCAAATATATGTGGGGTCATGCATACAAATAGAAGCTGATGTAAAAACTTTGTCTGATGCGGTAAGTGTCTCTTTGCCTCTAGTAAGAGGAAAAATATGCTTTTTTTTTTTTTTACTAATACGTCATCTATATTTTTAAGACTCATGTTTTTATGCAATTTATATTTTGGATACGCTCTTACTAACATTGCATAGAATAAATTATTTTACTGATCAATTTATAAACCAGATAATCAGAATAACAAATTTAGCTGATAATATGAGCGGAAAATCTTTGGTTCATTGGAAGCATTCCAGATGGAATACTTGTATCCTGCACCAATACTTGTTCTCTTGTGTCAGCCTTCTGCTGGAAGTGATCTTTTAAGTAACATCTGTGGGGATTAGCTATTTCGATTCTCACTGGTGCAACTTGTGCATAATATGATTGATGTACAAAAACCTTAGTACTCATTTTACTGCTATTTTTATCTGTTAAAGTTTGTAGGATGTATTTCTTTTCATCTTTCCTATATTTTAAGTATATCTTGGGACGGGGCAACTGTTGACTGGGTAATTTGTGGGAAACTGATTTTTTTACTTTCCAGTTGGTTGGACTTTTGTTGAGTGGGTTCTAGTTTTTTTCCATTCCACTTCTCTCATTTAACAACTAGGAAATTTCTACTTCAGGGGATCACTGCTGTACTTAATTTCCAGAGTGGAACCGAAGCAGAAAATTGGGGGATTGATTGTAAATCTATCAATGAGTCATGTCAAAAATCCGGTATCTTAACGATCAACTACCCCATAAGGTAAGTAAAGATATTTATGCCATAGTTTGAATGTATGATTTATCTACTTCACGTATGTTATGTAAAATTGCTGAATATATTGAAGTATATAATTGTTATTAGTTTGAACATGCTGTTTGCCTATGCCACATTAAATTTTCCTTATGTTCTGTTGCAGGGACTCAGACTCCTTTGATACAAGGAAGAAACTACCATTTTGTGTGGGGCTCCTATTACGCTTGTTAAAAAAGAACCACCATGTTTTTGTTACTTGTACAACTGGTTTTGATCGCTCTCCGGCTTGTGTGATTGCATATCTACACTGGATAACTGATACTTCCCTTCATGCTGCTTATAATTTTGTCACTGGATTGCATGAATGCAGACCTGACAGGTCCTTTTTACTAACTCTGTTATAAATGTATATTTTTATTTTATCGTTATCTATACCAAGGAGGCATAGTTACTAAGATTTTCGAGTAGTTTGGCGAAAATCCTTGTCTAACCTTAATTTAAGTATTGTTTTGTTGGACATGATTGACTAGTGGCATCTTTGACCAAATTTATATATTTTATATCAATTGATTAAATTGCTTTTTTGCTTAGATTATTCCCTATAGCTTCAGGAATCTTTTCCTTAGCTGAAGATTTTCTTACTACAATCAAAAGATTAGTAGCTCAGTTAGACACAAAGTTCTATTTGAAAATTTCAATTACAGAAAACAATGATAATCAGTTATTTGATAATCATGAATCCTCTTCAAGTGTTACAAAGATCTTGGGCAATCAAATTTACAAATATTCTCATTGCAGACCGGCAATTGCTTGGGCAACATGGGATCTTATAGCTATGGTGGAAAGTGGTGCACATGATGGACCAGCCACACATGCTGTGACCTTTGTGTGGAATGGACAGGAGGTAATTGATAATTCTAGCTGTAACTCACTTCTGTTATTGATATTTGATCACCTTAAAATCATGATAAGACAATGATCCATTTGTCTCTCTGGATTTTTATATTAGGCTAGAGCCTACTTTAGGAATAAGTTTCAGCATATTAGGCCTTAGATCATTGTATCTGCCAAGCTTACATCATTAGAAAATTATAGGTTTTGATGGTTCTTCTTTAAAGTCGAGTTTGTGTTACAGGGAGAGGATGTACAGTTGATTGGAGATTTTACAGGAAACTGGAAAGAACCAATCAAAGCGATCCACAAGGGCGGATCAAGATTTGAAGCTGAGGTTAGACTTACTCAGGGAAAGTAAGTGTTATGGGTTCTTTTTTGCTAATAGATTTTAAAAATTCCCATACTCTACTAAATCTAGAGGATGCTGCTTCATTGAATTCAGTATTTATTTTATTTTTGAGCTAAAGATCTCTATTTTTTTCGTTTTCCTATATGAGGCTGAAAAAACCCGAACATTTTTTTATTTACTGAGTCTCCAGTTTCACCTCTCTCCCAGTCCAAAAGAAATCGACAAATAGTTGCTGTTAATTTTCTATCTTTTGAAATTGTCAAATCCTCAATCATATTTTGCTGTTCCATTGTGAACAGTATCTCAACCTGCTGACTTATTCCAGGATTTTGAGTGAAGCATATTGGCTTTGAAATTCTATGAATATGTGTTGACACTACATGATGATATATATCTTGAAACCAGATACTGCTTGAGAATGATATAAACATATTATATGATGATATAAACATATTATATGGTTAAACTAAATTCTGACTTTCTGCCAAAAGAAAATTCTGCAATTCATTAGCTTAATCTTTTTAAATTCTTAGCATTATCTATTACATTTTTGTGCTTTTTGGGTGTAATGTTGCCTGTTTGAGTTCAGCCAAATTGTTTGTTCTTGGAGCTACATGAATCTTCTGTTGGCAGTCTAGGCTTGAGTTTGAAAGTTATATATCCAGCTTCATGTGCATCCTGGTCTAATTGCACCAAGTGAAGAGAATAATCAACTTAGTTCGATATAGCAGCTTAGCATGTTTCTCCTTTTTCTTTAAGAGTTTCTTTCTCTCTCTCAATTTAAGAATGTTGCTTATTGTGGTTATTCTCACCTTATATTTGAGGTTTTTATTATCTGTTACTAATCTATCATAATTAAGGAATTCTGATCTGATGGAATATCAGGCAATTAGCTTTAAGATAAATGCATTCTGGATTTTTTATTTTATTTTTGGATATAAAATTTCTTTCTAGAATGTGATTACGTTCACTGCCATCAGGTACTACTATAAGTTCATTATTAATGGGCAATGGCGGCATTCAACAGCTTCACCGATAGAAAGAGATGAACGTGGCAATGTCAACAATGTAATCATGGTTGGTGATATTGCCAGCGTGAAGCCTTATATGCGAGAACAAAAGAAGGTTGGTTTGTGCAATTCAACTCCCTACCCTCTTCGCCTCATATCATATGAAGAATTGTTTAAAAATTAAAATTATGCAGATACCAGACACTATAAACGGTTGCAAGAGTGTAAGATTATTGTAAGCATTATATTTTCTTTCTGACTATTTCAAGTCTCATGTTTCAGGATGCTAATGTCGTAAAGGTGATTGAGAGGCCTTTGACAGAAAGTGAGCGCTTTATGCTGGCAAAGGCAGCTCGGTGTATCGCATTCTCTGTCTGTCCAATCAGACTATGTCCTAAGTAGTTGGGTAGTGATGCTATCCTCAAGCTAATAAGTCTCATGCCATCTCGGGTGAAAATTTTCAACATCCTTTTGTCCAGGCTAAAATCATTAAACCATAATTCTAAATCTTCAAGGTATTCTCGTTGAGACTTAAAATCATCTTTGCCAATTCCTTCTCCAGAATAAGATTTATAGTAAAGGAAAGATGCATCTGAATATCAGCATTGCAGTATAATTCTTTGCTTTTAGTAAACTTTATTTCACTTGTCTGTATAGAACTAGAAGGTGAACTGCTACACATTCCCGATTATGACATAAGTTTGCCAATCGGTGTATATACAGTATGTTGCTGGGTTTTGTTCCCAGTAGAATTTTGTGCTTGAGTAAATAATTCTTTATCATAGCTTGTCTCATCTCAAAAAAAATTATAATTCAGGTTTGTCATTGTTGTTTATGATGGAATTATGTGTTCCAACCATTACATCTGGGCCATAGAGCATTGCTGATATATCATATGATATATGGTCCCAGATGCATATAATCTGGTCCCAGAAAAAAATGGCTGTAATATGAGCACATCTTTCTGAGGATGACACTATATATAATTTAGAAGAGAAAATTTTGTTGATATATCATATTATATATTTGAAAAGCAGTCCAAAATTCTGTCCTAAATCTTTTAAAATTTTTGATTAACAACATCCTCTACTTAGTGTCCTAACGAGGGTTTTGACTGTAGATTTGTAGATAAAGCTAAATTGAAATCTATCCTGCAAAGTATGCATCTCAGTTTATCATGTTGACTCGTTAAGAAGCATGAAGTAATTAACATTCGAAAAATAGCATTATCATCTTTATTTTCTTCATTTAATAGTTTTCATGTAAATCTAAAGATATACTGTATGTACTAAAAAAATAAAAAATTATTCAAAACACTATCTAGAAATTACAGTTTGGATATTGACTCCGTATTAGGAAAAAAAAAAAAAAAAAAAAAGATCAAATTCTGTATCCAAAATCATTAATGAAACTACTTTATGGGTGTGAGGATTATGAGTCTTGTAATGAATGGTGAAATAATCAGAGGGCAAAGTGAGAGAGTCAGATACTAAATCATAGCACTACTTAAATGAATACATTCGGTTTTTAACAAATAAAAACATTAGGTAACATTGGGATTGGTTTGTAAGATCAATTGACGATGTAATCATGCGATCGATCTATCGGCACTCTTAATGAACCTGTAAGGCTGTAAGATTACCGGACCAGTAAGGAAGTAACTCCCTAACAATTACGTAATTACTAATTAGAGGAGGCCACTCTGTAACTTACAACGTAAATTCAGCAGCCACTAGGGGTTCTCCCTTCGATACATGACAAAATAATGTTGACATTATGTTTTCAACATTCTCAATCATTCAACAAACGTTTCGTGTATATATACAATTGATGAAGTAATGCGCATACTTTATCAGTGAAGTTATTCGAAAGAGTAAAGCAACAATTTTTCCAATTCCAATTAAGAAGGATGACCAAGAAGCATCTCTGCAGTGGAAGATGGTTGTGTAATTTCAGTGCTGGGTTTGTTGAGAGAATTAATCCGGTTTGTATCCTTTTTATTATTATGTTTACTTTCACTGTTTTCTGCTACTAATTCATAAGAAAAATATTGCTGCGGTCCATTTTTAAAGAATAAATTGCATATTCTGAACGATTTACATTGAGGTACATAGACATTGCAGCAGGGAAGTAAGGCTGGGATTAAATTCAAGAACAAAATGGATCGATTGGATAATTCCCCAGTAACAGGAGTTACATTTACATTACATGCCATCTTGATTTTTTCTGGTTCTCCGTAACGTTGAATACTGTGAGGCTTTCGGGATAAAATAGATGAATAATATTATAAGATTGTGGTGGCCACAGCTGTCGTAATCAAAGTAGACAAATACCGGATAACAGAGGGATGGGAGTCTAGAAACCGCACTATAACTAGAGCCATGTTTTCTTGATAGACCCTTATCTCTATACTCAATTAACTCATCATCTACACCATTGACTTCCTTCAATGATATCCCCTTTCAATTCTTTCAACTTCATCTCCTTGTTTCTCAACACGTGGTGCCCCTTCATTCAACATACCATAGCTAGAGATAGAGAAAGCAGAAGGGATATTTTCTTTGGTGAACTTAAGAAAATGGAAGCTATTATTTTTGAATTAATAATCATCATATCTTTATCTTCTCATAGTTGTTAACATAAATACTATTGTTTGCTATACAGCCTTTAGCCTTTTGTAAAAGTACTGAAAATTAGAGTAAAATTGGTCTGTGTTAGCACTTAGGAGAAATATTATACTTCAAATATTTACAATTTTTGTTTTTTAATGACCGGAGGTATCCAGAGCAATTTGCTCACACCTCGACTAATCTTTTGAGATCCTAATTATCGGTCGGGTAAAAACTCTAGTGATCACTTTTATTAACTATTAACAATCAAGGTGAATCGAACTCAAGACTCTCTAGTAATACACTCAAAAGTATTGATTGACCATTTAGCCACCCAATAGTGTTGTCTTTACAAAATAAGAGATACTTCTAATTTAATGAGTTAGAAGCAATTTGCTACTTTGGTTTATCAATTGTAGAGGTGGTCATTGCACAATTGGGATACGCATAATAAGATACAAGCAACATCATTATAATTAATAAAATTGATTAAAATGTGGGCAAGGTAAGAAGAGAATATGATAGGGGCAATTGGTTGCATCAGGGACACCCAAGCCTAATCTACAAGGATAGAAGCTCTCATTCACCGAGCTTTCGCTTTTAAAATCAAGGGAGCGTCAGTATAAAGCCATCCATTTGTAAAGTCCCTTGCACAATGTCGACCGCTTCAATCAACAGCTGGTGCCTTACCTCTCTTTTCCCCGCTCAATCTTCCGTTAAAAGAGCCGCATTACGTCCCTCCATTGTTGCAAGCCTCAACTCTTCTCCTTCTCCTCCCAATCTCATCAGAAACCAACCCGTTTTCGCCGCACCAGCCCCCGTCATCAATCCTTCTTGGGTACTTCCTCCCTCCATTCTACTGTATTTTCATGCATGCATTTTAGGTTAAGTTTCATAATGTGACATGACTAATTTCATATTTCCATGAATTTTACTATAAGTTCCCAAGTGAACAGGTTTCAGGTCTGTTTTAACGTAAAGCATTACATTTGTAATTAAATGAACGTAACTCTCATCTGGCGCTAATTGTTGTCCACGTGGCAGTAAGTTACTGGTAAAACATGAAGACCACTCACTCAAAACATGACACGTGGTGATGATCTACACACACTGCCAAGTGTATGGCACTGTTAATTTTCTTGGATTAACCATCCAATTACTCCAATTTTATTAACAAAACGTAAATAATTAATAAGTAACAGACAGGAGCCATATTAGTAAGCTAATTTATCATCTGGAATGGAGATGATAAAAGCTCTTTGAGTCCTCTTGTCTCGTCATTTTTCAAATCCCATGTACTTGTCTTTGTTTAACTTCTTCTCTACTTTTCCGCATATAGTTTTGAGTTTTATACATTAATGACATAAACTTAATTTTGATAAATGATTTGTGGGGTGATTTGCAGAGAGAAGATATGGCAAAACAGTCTTACGAGGAGGCCGTTGAAGCTCTCAAGAAACTTCTCATGTAAATCCGTTTCCTACCTAACATTAAACTGTTCTTCAGTCACCTCTTTTATTTTATTTTCGCTTCGAATTCTCTTAATTTTTATTTTTCAATCTGTATATACTTTTGATTGTGGATGTATTCACGTTAACATCTTTTACTAGTTATTCTTTTTTCATATTTATTTAATAGTGTATAGTACTATACGATACTTAACTAAACTTTCAGTATTCTATACATACTCTTATTTTTTTTTTTTTTTTAAATTGTATTATTTTGGCTAAAGTACATGTTTCAATCAAATTAAACATTAATATAGTAATTTTCATGATTTTTTAAAATTCAATTAAGGATGTAATCTTAGGAAATGAAGTATAGAAAGTGCTTTAGAATAATTAACGATTCTATAAAATTGATCAATTAATGGGTTATTGTAAAATGCAGTGAGAAGGAAGAGCTGAAACCTGTAGCTGCTGCAAAAGTAGAGGAGATAAGAGCCCAGTTGTCAACTCCATCCGGCACCAAACCCGCCGATGATTTAACTGAGAGGATGAAGGATGGCTTCATTTTCTTCAAGAGGGAAAAATACGCGTAATTTTCTTCTTTACACTGATTACATTTTGTTTTTAAAGTATCAATGCACTACTTAAATGTATTTCTTTGTTTTTTAATTTTACAGGAAAAATCCAGCTTTGTACGGTGAGCTTGCCAAAGGCCAGAGCCCCAAGGTATTTATATCCAAATTTCCAATATAGAATTACGTGAAAATTTTCTTTAAATTTTGGTAACTGGGTACTAATTTTTTCAAAAAAAAAAAAAAAAAAAAAAAAAAAACAATTGCAGTATATGGTATTTGCGTGCTCAGACTCGAGGGTTTGCCCATCACATGTGTTGGATTTCCAACCAGGGGAGGCTTTTGTAGTCCGTAATGTTGCTAATATTGTTCCACCCTTTGATCAGGTTCTTCGTACTATTCATTAATTTACTTCACTCTATTCAATTCTTTGCTCCATTCAAATGAATGAGGTTTTTGATTCATTATTGTTTGTCTCTGCTCTATCAGACTAAATACGCTGGAGTTGGATCTGCCGTTGAGTATGCAGTTCTGCATCTCAAAGTAAAATTCACTTCGCTTTTACCTAATCTTTTCGGTCACATTATTGTCACAAGTGATTGGATTTGTAATTCAAAGTGTTTAATTTTTCACAGGTGTCCACCATTGTGGTCATTGGACACAGCGCTTGTGGTGGAATCAAGGGACTCATGTCTTTCCCATTGGATGGAAACAACTCAACGTAAGGCCCTTTTCTTATAAAAAAAAAACTTAATTTTCTATACGTTGCTTTGGGTATAAAATCACCTTCAGTATGAACACTAACACACTCCAATTGGTTGATTAATAATGCAGTGATTTCATAGAAGAATGGGTCAAACTTGGTTTACCTGCCAAGAAGAAGGTGTTATCAGACTATGGTGATTTAGATTTCGGAGCACAATGTACATACTGTGAAAAGGTATATAATTCTTGCAATCTTAAATAGCCCTTTTTTTATCGATTTTGTTCACCCTTTTATATTATGTATGTGTAAATTGCAACAATGCAGGAGGCTGTGAATGTGTCCCTCGGAAATCTGCTAACCTATCCATTTGTGAGAGATGGCTTGGTGAAGAAAACACTTTCACTCAAGGGTGGTTACTATGATTTTGTTAAAGGAAGTTTTGAGCTGTGGGGACTTGACTTTGGGCTTTCTCCATCCCTCTCTGTATGAACATCAAACATTTATCAGTGACCCAATCTCTGTTTCTGTTGCCTCACTATTTCGTTAATTTCCTGCAATGTACCTTGTATGCTTTTCATGAGCTACAAGTAATTCACAATAAATATATATAGTTGGAAAGCATCAGAGTCTTCTTTTAACAATAAATGAACATTAAATTTTTCTTTTTCCAGGAACTGTGTTGGTACCATAATTGGCTTTATTCACTACTGCATTTTTCTTCTGTTTTTTTTCCTTTGTTAGGTTAAAGATGTGGCCACAATACTCCATTGGAAGCTCTAGGGACATGCATAGAGGTCATCAGACTCATCACTGCAAAGATGAGGCTCTTTTTACTTCATTATATTATAAAGTAATCTGGGTTGTGTAGACAAGTCCTATTTTAAAGAATTATGGGAGTCTGGTTCAGGCCAAGATCCTCAACATATTTTCTAGCTTCTTCACTTCTTGCTCATTCATTTTCAGTGTTAGAAACAGAGATTTTTCTACAATCTCGGATGCTATTTCCGGTATTTAGATGCATAAAAACATTATCTTTTTTCTTCAATGAATATAGATAAAACAATAATTTGGTAACATTAAACGTGAAATTAGTAATGTTCGACCAAAACTAACAAATTCATGATGGAATGACAGCAGTCGAAAAGACTCTTATTGTCTCAAATATACTTCTTTAAAGTGTATTTGAAGTAAAATAATCAAGAAAAGTGAATGAAATCTGGATTTATATATAACTTAAATTTGACCTAGGATATACAAATAAATGTAGAGTAAAGAAAAGGAACAGAAAAGTTAGAAAAAAATAGTTGACAACATTTAATATGCGTAGCTACCATCCCCAATTCTACACGCAACTCAAAAATTAAGTGAAACTTGTATGGCATACTGTTTATCAGGTAAATATTTTATGTGAATTCACAGTTGTTCTGCAAGATAAAATGTCAGTACAGTGGATCATCTTTAATATGAATGAATAGCCATATTTTTCTACTCAAAGTTGAATGATATTTCAGCAACTCACATATAAATCAGTTATGTATCATTCAATGTGTCCTGCAACCTCTGCTTTGATCATTCAAGTCCCTGAGCCTGAGGGGACTATTTCACAGAAAAGAATATCATGTGGGCCTGTTTAAATTTACCCAGTAGTTGCAGTTCTTACTTTGTGAGTCTGTCTTAGTTGTCGTCTCGTCTCAACTAGCTCAAGTACTATAAAAATAAAGAAAAATGTTATCCTTACAAAGACAATACAAAGAGGGTTACAAAGTGACATCAGCAAGAAAGAAAAACCAAAGAAAAAATGGAAAAAGAGGGAGAGAGAGAGAGAAATCATGAAGATGAAGGGTGAGAATTGTTTTTGTATGCCCTCTTTGTTTTTGTCTTTGTAACATTAGTATTGCTCAAAAATAAAAAGTCAATAAACACTTTAAAAGGGATTAATAATAAACATGGTTAGATACCAAAATATGGTTTCATATTTTTCCATTGTATTCTGCCCAAATGTGAAGGACAATGACTTTAAACATGATTTGATGCTCTGTCCTAATGTGGCCGGTACATTGACAGTGGTGAGGAAGGCTTATTATTAAAGTAAAATTTGACTGAAATGGGATCGCATGCGTGTGTTTGTGTCCGTAAGAGAGATGCCACTGAAACTTGAACCTTATCAGAGTTTTTACTTACCTCCATTATTATCTCTCAACCCTACCACAATTGGCTTTCAGCTATAGGATTCTGCATACAATACTTTGTAGAAGAAAAAATTACGATAAACTTCCCTTTTAACATGTAATTAAAGAGAAGCAAAGAAAATGCTAATAGTTCTTCTGCTTCTGAATCATTAATAGAAGCCTAGCTACCAAGTTATTAACTCTCAAAACAAATAAAAAAAAATTATAAACAATATGACTGTCAAACATGCAAAGATCAAAAATCAAATTAAAGAATACCCATCCATAAACTCCAGCATGGTTAGGGTACCAGCAAAATCCAACTCCTCTTCAGCATTCCATAAAGAGTTGACAAAACTTTCATCAATCATGGATTCTTGTGTTTCTGTGACATTATTAATCAGGCTTTTCTGGGTGGCTTTGGCTTTGTCCACTGAAATTTCATTGGTTGCCCTTGCACTGGTACAAGAACTTGTTCTTGTGCAACTTTTTGATACTTCCACTTTCTGGGATTTTGTTAAGCTAGAATCTCCAGCTGTGTGTTTTTGCTCTTTGATCCCAAGCTTTTTCCTCAAATGAGCATTCCAATAATTTTTCACTTGATTGTCAGTTCGTCCTGGCACTCTTTTAGCAATCAAGGACCACCTAAAATGAAACCAACTTCAGGATATTATCAAGAAATATTATGACTAGTGCATTGTTAGATATATATTTTAATAGATGCAACCACCTCCACCGTGATCATTTAATTGATTCATAATGATGAACAAATTATTTCAACCAGAAGTGATTGGCTAAAAGAAGGATGAAAAATCAAAGAAAAGGTCAGACATAACACAAATCTACAAAGGGTAATTAATGATCATTCACTTTGTTTTATTAATCATGTTCGTTATTTCCCAACAAATCATTCTTAAATGTTCCATGTTTCAAAGTTGAGGAACAAGATTGACCATGTAATTCATTTCTTTTCCAGTAGCTTGAACAAGATTACTGAATACTCTATGAAATTAATTAATTCCTTCAAAAAATAAGCATGGTCACTTCTTCAAAGTCTTCAGAAATTAGAGTATATGTAAGCAAAAGATAACTGAAGTAAAGAACCTGTTTCCAAGGAGCTTATGGAGTCTAATGATAAGATCTTCTTCTTCCTCAGTAAAATTGCCTCGGTTCACACTTGGGCTGAGGTAGTTCATCCACCTTAGCCTACAACTCTTCCCACATCTCTTCAAACCTTAATCATAACATTAAAAAAACAAAAAACAGCTAGCCATTGAACTATATATATTTAACTTCAACACTAGAAACTCAAAGGCAAACAGATAAAAGAAAAGAAAAGAAATGAAATACAAATAATTACCTGTTTTCTTGGCAATTCGATTCCATTGCCCTTTCCCATGCATTTTAACATAATCCAAGAGTATCTTGTCTTCTTCAACTGTCCATAAACCTTTCTTATATCGGTTCTCATCTCCTTCCACTGGCTTTGTCTTTGTCATTGTGATTGTGATCTTCTTCTTCCTTTAAGAGAGAAAGAGTGTGTGTTTAAAAGAGAGAGTTTTAGCAAAATTCTTAAAGAGTTTGCTTTGGATTTATGAGTCTGTCGTGGAATGAGTCTTATATATAAAGTTGACAAATTAATAATTAAAATGGATAGAGAGTCATACTGATGATTTCGACAGTACATGAATTTGTAACATGAATGACGCTAGAGCCCGCGGTGGGCCGTGTCAGCCCATAGCACAGCACGAAAAAAACAAGGCATGACACGAAAAAAACAAGGTACGACACGAAATAAAAATATATTGATCATGCCGTGGGCCTCAAAAAAAGCCCGTGGGTTGACATAGCACAGCACGAAAAAAAATAAAATTAATAGTTATTTTGTAACGACTATTTGAAAATAGCTGTTACTAGCTGTTATCGGGTAGCGGCTATAAACGACTATTTTATTTATTTTTTTATTTTTTCCTATAAATACTCAATTATTTCTCTAGTTTTTTAACACTCAATTTCAATCTTCATTCTCCTTTCTCTCTCAACTCTCAAGCTCTCATAATCTCTCTCAAATTCTCAATTTTTTTTCCGTCGAATTTATTTTAATTTTTAGTCAAATTTCAAAATGGATCCAAATTCAAATGAATTTAATCATTTTGATTATTTTAATAATGAGTCACCACCACGAAATCTATCACAGCCACCCCTAGAAAAGAAAAGAAAGCAAAAATCAATGGTTTGTGAGCATTTTACTCAAACACAAGAAACAGTTTGTGGTGAAATCGTGCGACGTGCAGTATGCAAATATTGTGGTTCTAATTTGGCCAGTTCGAGTACGGGTGACACTGGGCATCTCCGGAGGCATATAAGCGAACATTGCAAAAAAAATGCCACAACATTTAAAAGGACAACAAAAAATTTCATTTACAAAGGCATTTATTGCATCGGTATGTGATTTAACTAGTAGTCAATCAAATAGTGTAATGAGCGGGATTTCTAGCTTCACATATAGTCAACAAAACATGAGAGACTATATGGCCAGGTACGTTGTCGCAACCGATCAACCTTTTTCATATGGTGATGATCCAATTTTAGAATGGTATATGCAAAATAGTGTACAACCTGCTTTTAGGAGAGTTCCTAAAAATACTTTAAGAGCTGATATTTTTAGAATTTACAATGAAATGAAAACAAATATTAAAAATATACTTAGTAAATTTAATAGCGTTAGTTCGTTTACTTTGATTTATGGACGGCCACTAATCAAGATTTAGAATATATTTGTGCAACGGGTTATTTTATGAATTTAGATTGGCAACTTGAAAAAAAATTCTTGCATTTTGTGTATTAGAATATCCACATACTGGTGTAATTATTTATGAAGAATTAGCTAAAATTTTTAGTGAATATGAAATAAATGATAAAAAAATTTCTCTCACATTTAATAATGCATCATCAAATGATAAGAGTTATTGATTTTTTGTGAAAACAATTAAATCCACCTTATGAAGGTCAATTATTTCATATTAGATGTGTTTGTCACATAATAAATTTAATTACACAAGATGCAATAAAATCAATTGAAAATAAAATATCTTTAATTAGGCATGCAATTACATTTATTTCATCATCTCTTTCACATTTACAATAATACAATAGTATGTACAAGCAAATGGGGTTATAAAAGAGAAAATTGAAAACTGATGTTAGGACTTGTTGGAACTCCACATGTTTAATATTAAAATCTTGTGAATCATATGAAAATGATATTACACAATTTAAAAAAAAAAAACAATATGATCATTTATTAACTATAAATCATTGGGAACTTGGTTTTTCCTTAATGAATATTTTAGAACCTTTAAATGATGTTACTGAACAATGTTCTGGTATTTGCTATCCTACAATTTGTTTAGTCTTATATCATATACTAGATATTAGTTCTATTTTTAAATAATATAGAGATCATGCAGTTTTTAGAAATATTGCAAAAAAAATGGAAATAAAATTTAGAAAATATTGGGAAAAATGTCTATATTGTTGCTTTAGCTTCTGTAATGGATCCTAGGGTAAAATTATTCGGAGTAAATAATATGGTATAAGAAATTTAAGCAAATTTGGAGACCCCATTAAAAATTTCAGTGGAAGATGTTAGAACTTTATTACTTCAAATGTATTCACATGGTTAGACATGGAAACATGACAAGTGTACAACAACCAATATCATCAATGTCAAGTTCCTCCATAGGTAAAAAACGAGCCTATTTGGTCTATCATCACTAAAGGTAAAAAACGGGTAGGTGCAAGCTCTTCATATGATGAAATTACAAATTATTTTAGCATGGATCATTTGACTGAAATTATGATTCAAAGTGATCAATTTGATATTCTTCGATGGTGGAAAGCACATCAAAAGACTTATCCTATACTTTCCACTATTGCACGTGATTTACTAACGCCTTCAGTTTCTAGTGTAGCATCAGAATTAACTTTTAGTGCAGGTGGACGTGTATTGGACGAGAGAAGATCAAGTTTACATCCAAGTGTTGTTGTATGAAAGATTGGGTGGCGGCATATTTCAAGCTTCAAAATCTTGTTGCTGAAGATATATTTGAAAATTTTAAGAATTTAGAAATTAATGAAAACGAAGATGTATACTAATTCTTAATCCTAATTTCTATGTTTGTATTTATAATTTATAATTATAACTTATAAGTAATAAAAAGCGTTGAAATTCAATGTCTTATTATTTTATTATATTTCATAGTAATTATATATTTTTAATTAATATAAATACAAAATGTCACTAAATATAACATATAAAATATTTTTATAATAATTAATAATAATAAATCAAAATTACCATAATTTATAAATATTAAAATTAAATATTTTTGCAAAGCATGTGGGCCGACCTATGGCACGGCCCAAGGCACGACACGATATATAACGGACTGTGCTGTGGGCCTTCAAATTTCGTGAGCCGGCATGGCACGACAGGGTACGAAACTGTGCGGGCTTTAGCACGGCATATCCCACGGCACAGCCCATGGCACGATGAACCTTGACTTTTTAGGCACAGCACGATGAATCTTGACTTTTTAGGCACGGCCCACTGTTACCTCTAAATGACGCTGACTCTGGATGAGTTTAGTTACTCTGTCGCCAGACTTGGCACAAATCTTGATAAATTCTTAGATTTATTCATCAAATCAAATTACATCCCATAAAAATATTTTAATTTCTCTTCTCCAAATCTTATACTTAACCTTGTTTTTATGTTAGTTTTATATCTGATATTGATTTATGTTGTATGAACAAGTTAAATTTTATGTAAGTTGACGTGATGGTGTTAATTTGTGGGTGTCTCCCTCATCAACGCACCGTCTGTCTGAAAATTGGGTTAGTTCACCTAAGCAATCTCTTTATTAAGAAACTCTCCTTTTTTTTTCCCGACACCATCCAGTATTTGTACAACTCATGTTCTTTACAGTTGATTAAAGAGGACTATTATTAATCTGCGCTGCAGCATCGTTTTGTTAAGCTATTTATTGAGCACTTATTTTAATTTTTAAGCTGCGTTTTAATGTTCAATCAATAATCTGTTCTTCCACACTCTGGTTGCCATGAATTTCCTAATATAAAACCAATTCAAATGCTTTCATTTTAAACGGGAAAATAGCCAACAAGCTTATTATAGGTTAAAAAACAAGAGTTTGATGAGAAAATAGAAAGAAATAAGATACTTTTGTTAAAGAATTGGTTTCCTATTAGGGAAGAATCTTAATATTTTAGGGGGAAAATGTTTAGGCAAAAAAAAATCCTCTAGCTTGGGTAAAAGAACAATAACTTAAAGGAGTGGAGCAGCTCTATAATAAATAGTGGCATTGAATATCGCCCACATGAATTAGGCAGTGAGGCCTCGAATATATCAACATTCAGTACTCTTCTCTTTGTTTTCCGTATTTTTTATGCACCATATAATCAACAGCCTCTCTGTGTCTCTCACATATTTAAACCATAATCAATGGAGAGTCAAAGGCTACGACTCAATTACTCTTCAGGCCACAAGGTCAAAAATGGATATTCATAAAGAAGTGGGCAAATTATTTAAGAATGAATGCCTGCATCTTTAGTTTGCAAATTTTGTGAATTTTACAGACAATTTTGCTTCATCAATGTAGTGGAGATATGTACAAGACCCTTTTCATAAGGAGTAGCAAAAAAATAATGGCACTGATCGAATATGCACAAAGATAAACACGCGGGGCCATTTGTCATACTAAGACTCATCTGGCTTTGGTTCAAGTGTTACAGGAATCTTCTCCATATGATCACCACGCAACACCTCCACAGTCACCTGGATATCAAAAATTAAAATGATTTAGCTATATATTACAGAATCCGTGACTGGTGTTTCACTCTTTATATGAAAAGAAAGTTTATCAAAGCCGCCACTCAAAAACTAGGGCAGAGGTTAAATCATATTTTCTACAATGATTTGTATATGGGTTCATATATCATTGTGATTTGCCATTTAAACTAGAGTTATCATATAACATTAGAAAGAAGTTGCGTGTAATATGTATTTGGATTTTAAAAGGCTTGATTCAAAGAGTGAAGAATAAGATGAAAATGTTAGTATGAGATCATCGAATCCCAACATGATAGTATAAGACAATTGAATCCTGAAACGAATGAAAATTGGAGCACATTCCTCAAGCTTTGTACTTGCTTGCAAGACCATATACTCTAGCTTGCTGTATAAGGCAAGTACATGTGTGAATGCAATGGCAGAGCTGCATACAATGTCCTCCAAATGTAAAACCCCTTCGTCCCCCGTTCTATACTGATGTTAAAATTCTGCCTCCTGGTCACCCTAAAATTAGAATTCTAGTTTCATCCATGCAGTGCATGTTTGAGCACAGTTGGTACTAAATTCTCAACATTAGTTTCTGATAACAAAGTCCTGAGGGTATACCAGATCAGTAGCATCACGACTAAGATGTATCACTAGCCATAGCATTATGAAAATTGATGCAAGCATACACTGATCTATACAACCAAAATCCCACTATTTCAGACAATACCTCTACACACATATCAACATTTGGAAAAAAAAAGACTCTTCCCACACTGAAAACTGTGTCGGATAGTATCATTTAGCATAAGCATGTGACACTATAATTCTCATTCTTATTGAACTAGAAATATTCCAATATGAATATATGGAAAACTATCTTCAAATATCCCGGGCATCCATCAGAAAGAAAGGTGACATGAGATCAGAGAAAAAGAATCACATCATACCTTATCACCAACTTTGCATTGGTCAAGAATTCTGTACAAGTCACTGCCATTTGTAACCTTTTTTCCATTCACAGATGTTATGATGTCACCTAATATGAGTCTACCATAGGCATCACGTTTAGTTGGTAGTAAACCCTGCACAACAAAACTGATCAGCTCTACCTAAAATGAAGCACAAAACCTTCAACCTTTTAAAAATAAAATTAAGGAATAAAAGAAATAAGCTTTAACATTAATAGAACATAATATTAGTTTTATAGAAAATGAAAGGCAAATTTGTCAAAAAATGGTCATACATACCGCTTTGCCAGCTGGACCATTTGCTGGAGCATCTAAGACGAGCACCCCACTTACACCTAATTGCTCCACTGACTGATCAGGTGCAAACTTAATCCCTAAAATAGGTCTTGTCACCTTCCCAAACCTCACTAGCTGGTCAACAATACCATTCACCTGAGACATATGAATGAAGATTAATTTTTTAAGCATAAGAAAAAAAAAAAAAAAGAGTTATGCATCCTGATTCAATAAATATGAAGATAATAAAGTTTTCCTCATCAAAATCAAAGTCAATGTGTAGACAATAACTCACAGTGTCAACTGGAATAGAAAATCCAACGCCAGAGGATGCACCGGATGGAGAATAAATAGCTGTATTTATTCCAATAAGGCTTTATCTCAACACAAGAAACAGTTGTGGTGAAATCGTGCGACGTGCAGTTGCAAATATTGTGGTTCTAATTTGGCCGTTCGAGTACGGTGGACCTGGGCATCTCAGAGGATATAAGCGAAATTGCAAAAAAAATGCCACAACATTTAAAAGGCAACAAAAAATTTCATTTACAAAGGCATTTGCATCGGTATGTGATTCAACTAGTAGTCAATCAAAAGTGTAATGAGCGGATTTCTAGCTTCACATAGTCAACAAAACATGAAGACTATATGGCAATGTACGTTGTCGCAACCGATCAACCTTTTTCATAGGTGATGATCCATTTTAGAATGTATATGCAAATAGTATACAACCTGCTTTTAGGAGAGTTCTAAAAATACTTTAAGAGATGATTTTTTAGAATTTACAATGAAATGAAAAAAAATATTAAAAATAACTTAGTAAATTTATAGGTTAGTTCGTTACTTTTGATTTATGGACGGCCATAATCAAGATTTAGGAATATTTGTGCAACGGGTATTTTATGAATTTAGATTGGCAACTTGAAAAAAAATTCTTCATTTGTGTATTAGAATATCCACATACTGTGTGAATATTTATGAAGAATTAGCTAAAAATTTTAGTGAATATGAAATAAATGAAAAAAATTCTTCACAATTTAATAATGCATCATCAAATGATAAGAGTTATTGATTTTTTGTGAAAACAATTAAATCCACCTTATGAAGGGCAAATATTTCTATTAGATGTGTTTGTCACAATAAATTTAATCACAAGATGGAATAAAATCAATTGAAAAAAAATCTTTAATTAGGCATCAATTAAATTTATTTCATCATCTCTTTCTTTACAAAACAATAGTATGTACAAGCAAATGGGGTTATAAAAGAGAAAATTGAAAACTGGGTTAAGACTTGTTGGAACTCCACATTTTAATATTAAAATCTTGTGAATATATGAAAATGGTATACAAATTTAAAAAAAACAATATGATCATTTATTAACTATAAATCATTGGGAACTTGGTTTTTCCTTAATGAATATTTTAAAACCTTTAAATGATGTACCGAACAATGTTTTGGTATTTGCTATCCTACAACTTGTTTAGTCTTATATCATATATAGATATTAGTTTATTTTTAAATATAGAGATAATCATTTTTGAATATTGCCAAAAAAATGGAAAAAATTAGAAAATATTGGAAAAAATGTCTATATTGCATCCTAGGGTAAAATTATTGGAGTAAATAATATGGTACAAGAAATTTAAGCACAATTTGGAGACCCCATTAAAAATTTCAGTGAAGATGTTAGAACTTATTACTTCAAATGATTCACATGGTAGACATGGAAACATGACAAGTGTACAACAACCAAATCATCAATGTCAAGTTCCTCCAAGGTAAAAAGGTATTTGGTCTATCATTACTAAGGTAAAAAAGGGTAGGTCAAGCTTTCATATGATTAAATTACAAATTATTTTAGCATGGATCATTTGACTGAAATTAGATTCAAAGTGATCAATTTGATATTCTTCGATGGTGGAAAGCACATCAAAAGACTTATCCTATACTTTCCACTATGCACGTGATTTACTAACGCCTTCAGTTTCTAGTGTAGCATCAGAATTACTTTTAGTGCAAGTGGGCGTGTATTGGCGAGAGAAATCAAGTTATACCAAGCTATTGGTTTTGTATGAAAGATGGGTGGCGGCATTTAAGCTTCAAAATGTTTTGCTGAAGATATATTTGAAATTTTAAGAATTTAGAAATTAATGAAAAGAAGATGTATACAATTCTTAATCCTATTTCTATGTTTGATTTTAATTTATAATTATAACTTATAAGTAATAAAAGCTTGAAATTCAATGTCTATTATTTTATTATATCATAGGATTATATATTTTTAATTAATAAATACAAAATGTCATTAAATATAAAATATAAAAATTTTTTAATAATAGTAATAATAAATCAAATTACATAATTTATAAATATTAAAATTAAATATTTTGACTAGGCCGGCCCAATGCAAGCACTACCAAAGTATGAAACTGTGTAGCCTTGCATAGCACAACCCACGAACACGATGGACCTTGAATTTTTATACACTGCACAGCCCACCGCCACCTCTAAATGACGCTGACTGTGGATGAGTTTAGTTCTCTATCGCCAGACTTGGCACAATCTTGATAATAATTCTTAGATTATTATCAAATCAAATTACATCCCATAAAATATTTTAATTTCTCTTCTCCAAATTATACTTAACCTTGTTTTTATGTTAGTTTATATCTGATATTGATTTATGTTGTATGAACAAGTTAAATTTTATGTAAGTTGACGTGATGGTGGTAATTTGTGGGTGTCCTCATCAACGCACCGTCTGTCTGAAAATTGGGTTAGTTCACCTAGCAATCTTTATTAAGAAACACTCTCCTTTTTTTCCCGCACCATCCAGTATTTGTACAACTAAGTTCTTAATAATAAACATGGTTAGATACCAAAATATGGTTTCATATTTTTCCAATGTATTCTGCCCAAATGTGAAGGACAATGACTTTAAACATGATTTGATGCTCTGTCCTAATGTGGCCGGTACATTGACAGTGGTGAGGAAGGCTTATTATTAAAGTAAAATTTGTCTGAAATGGGATCGCATGCGTGTGTTTGTGTCCGTAAGAGAGATGCCACTGAAACTTGAACCTTATCAGAGTTTTTACTTAACTCCATTATTATCTCTCAACCCTACCACAAGTGGCTTTCAGCTATAGGATTCTGCATACAATACTTTGTAGAAGAAAAAATTACGATAAACTTCCCTTTTAACATGTAATTAAAGAGAAGCAAAGAAAATACTTATAGTTCTTCTGCTTCTGAATCATTAATAGAAGCCTAGCTACCAAGTTATTAACTCTCAAAACAAATAAAAAAAATTATAAACCATAGGACTGTCAAACATGCAAAGATCAAAAATCAAATTAAAGAATACCCATCCATAAACTCCAGCATGGTTAGGGTACCAGCAAAATCCAACTCCCCTTCAGCATTCCATAAAGAGTTGACAAAACTTTCATCAATCATGGATTCTTGTGTTTCTGTGACATTATTAATCAGGCTTTTCTGGGTGGCTTTGGCTTTGTCCACTGAAATTTCATTGGTTGCCCTTGCACTGGTACAAGAACTTGTTCTTGTGCAACTTTTTGATACTTCCACTTTCTGGGATTTTGTTAAGCTAGAATCTCCAGCTGTGTGTTTTTGCTCTTTGATCCCAAGCTTTTTCCTCAAATGAGCATTCCAATAATTTTTCACTTGATTGTCAGTTCGTCCTGGCACTCTTTTAGCAATCAAGGACCACCTAAAATGAAATCAACTTCAGGATATTATCAAGAAATATTATGACTAGTGCATTGTTAGATATATATTTTAATAGATGCAACCACCTCCTCCGTGATCATTTAATTGATTCATAATGATGAACAAATTATTTCAACCAGAAGTGATTGGCTAAAAGAAGGATGAAAAATCAAAGAAAAGGTCAGACATAACACAAATCTACAAAGGGTAATTAATGATCATTCACTTTGTTTTATTAATCATGTTCGTTATTTCCCAACAAATCATTCTTAAATGTTCCATGTTTCAAAGTTGAGGAACAAGATTGACCATGTAATTCATTTCTTTTCCAGTAGCTTGAACAAGATTACTGAATACTCTATGAAATTAATTAATTCCTTCAAAAAATTGCCAATAAGAATGATTGAAATAAGCATGGTCACTTCTTCAAAGTCTTCAGAAATTAGAGTATATGTAAGCAAAAGATAACTGAAGTAAAGAACCTGTTTCCAAGGAGCTTATGGAGTCTAATGATAAGATCTTCTTCTTCCTCAGTAAAATTGCCTCGGTTCACACTTGGGCTCAGGTAGTTCATCCACCTTAGCCTACAACTCTTCCCACATCTCTTCAAACCTTAATCATAACATTAAAAAAACAAAAAACAGCTAGCCATTGAACTATATATATTTAACTTCAACACTAGAAACTCAAAGGCAAACAGATAAAAGAAAAGAAAAGAAATGAAATACAAATAATTACCTGTTTTCTTGGCAATTCGATTCCATTGCCCTTTCCCATGCATTTTAACATAATCCAAGAGTATCTTGTCTTCTTCAACTGTCCATAAACCTTTCTTATATCGGTTCTCATCTCCTTCCACTGGCTTTGTCTTTGTCATTGTGATTGTGATCTTCTTCTTCCTTTAAGAGAGAAAGAGTGTGTGTTTAAAAGAGAGAGTTTTAGCAAAATTCTTAAAGAGTTTGCTTTGGATTTATGAGTCTGTCGTGGAATGAGTCTTATATATAAAGTTGACAAATTAATAATTAAAATGGATACAGAGTCATACTGATGATTTCGACAGTATTGAATTTGTAACATGAATGACGCTAGAGCCCGCGGTGGGCCGTGTCGGCCCATGGCACGGCATGAAAAAAACAAGGCACGGCATAAAAAAGGCAAAGCATGACACGACATGAAAATATACTGATCGTGCCGTGGGCTTTAAAAAAACTTGTGGGTTGACACGGCACAGCACGAAAAAAAATAAAATTAATAGCTATTTTAAAATAGTCGTTACCCCCTTGCACAGGGGAAGCGGCTATGAACGACTATTTCATTTATTTTTTTATTTTTTCGTATAAATACTCAATTATTTCTCTAGTTTTTTCATACTCAATTTCAATCTTCATTCTCCTTTCTCTCTCAACTCTCAAGCTCTCATAATCTCTCTCAAATTCTCAATTATTTTTTTTGTCGAATTTATTTTAATTTTTAGTCAAATTTCAAAATGGATCCAAATTCAAATGAATTTAATCATTTTGATTATTTTGATAATGAGTCACCACCACAAAATCTATCACAGTCACCCCTAGAAAAGAAAAGAAAGCAAAAATCAATGGTTTGGGAGCATTTTACTCAAACACAAGAAACAGTTCGTGGTGAAATCGTGCGACGTGCAGTGTGCAAATATTGTGGTTCTAATTTGGCCGGTTCGAGTACAGGTGGCACTGGGCATCTCTAGAGGCATATAAGCGAATATTGCAAAAAAATGCCACAACATTTAAAAGGGCAACAAAAAATTTCATTTACAAAGGCATCTGTTGCATCGGTATGTGATTCAACTAGTAGTCAATCAAATAGTGTAATGGGCGAGATTTCTAGCTTCACAGATAGTCAACAAAACATGAAAGACTATATGGCAATGTACGTTGTCGCAACCGATCAACCTTTTTCATATGGTGATGATCCAATTTTAGAATGATATATGCAAAATAGTATACAACCTGCTTTTAGGAGAGTTCTTAAAAATACTTTAAGAGATGATCTTTTTAGAATTTACAATGAAATGAAAACAAATATTAAAAATACACTTAGTAAATTTAATAGCGTTAGTTCGTTTACTTTTGATTTATGGACGGCCACTAATCAAGATTTAGGATATATTTGTGCAACGGGTCATTTTATGAATTTAGATTGGCAACTTGAAAAAAAAATTCTTACATTTCGTGTATTAGAATATCCACATACTGATGTAACTATTTATGAAGAATTAGCTAAAAATTTTAGTGAATATGAAATAAATGATAAAAAAATTTCTCTCACATTTAATAATGCATCATCAAATGATAGAGTTATTGATTTTTTGTGAAAACAATTAAATCCACCTTATGAAGGTCAATTATTTCATATTAGATGTGTTTGTCACATAATAAATTTAATTGCACAAGATGGAATAAAATCAATTGAAAATGAAATATCTTTAATTAGGCATACAATTACATTTATTTCATCATCTCTTTCACGTTTACAACAATACAATAGTATGTACAAGCAAATGGGGTTATAAAAGAGAAAATTGAAAACTGGTGTTAAGACTTGTTGGAACTCCACATATTTAATATTAAAATCTTGTGAATGATATGAAAATGGTATTACACAATTTTTTAATACAAAACAATATGATCATTTATTAACTATAAATCATTGGGAACTTGGTTTTTCCTTAATGAATATTTTAAAACCTTTAAATGATGCTACCGAACAATGTTCTGGTATTTGCTATCCTACAACTTGTTTAGTCTTATATCATATATTAGATATTAGTTTTATTTTTAAAGAATATAGAGATAATACAATTTTTTGAAATATTGCCAAAAAAATGGAAATAAAATTTAGAAAATATTGGAAAAAAATGTCTATATTGCATCCTAGGGTAAAATTATTAGGAGTAAATAATATGGTACAAGAAATTTAAGCAAATTTGGAGACCCCATTAAAAATTTCTGTAGAAGATGTTAGAACTTTATTACTTCAAATGCATTCACATGGTCAGACATGGAAACATGACAAGTGTACAACAACCAATATCATCAATGTCAAGTTCCTCCAGAGGTACAAAATAAGTGTATTTGGTCTATCATTACTAAAGGTTAAAAAGGGGTAGGTACAAGCTCTTCATATGATTAAATTACAAATTATTTTAGCATGGATCATTTGACTGAAATTACGATTCAAAGTGATCAATTTGATATTCTTCGATGGTGGAAAGTACATCAAAAGACTTATCCTATACTTTCCACTATTGCACGTGATTTACTAACGCCTCCAGTTTCTAGTGTAGCATCAGAATTAGCTTTTAGTGCAAGTGGGCGTGTATTGGACGAGAGAATATCAAGTTTATATCCAAGTGCTATTGAAGTCATTATGTGTATGAAAGATTGGGTGGCGGCATATTTCAAGCTTCAAAATCGTTTTGCTGAAGATATATTTGAAGATTTTAAGAATTTAGAAATTAATGAAAATGAAGATGTATACTAATTCTTAATCCTAATTTCTATGTTTGCATTTGTAATTTATAATTATAATTTATAAGTAATAAATAACTTTGAAATTCAATGTCTCATTATTTTATTATATTTCATAGTGATTATATATTTTTAATTAATATAAATACAAAATGTCATTAAATATAACATATAAAATATTTTTATAATAATTAGTAATAATAAATCAAAATTATCATAATTTATAAATATTAAAATTAAATATTTTTACTAGGCCGGCCCAATGCACAGCACTACAAAGTATGAAACTGTGCTAGCCTTAGCATAGCACAACCCACGACACGATGAACCTTGAATTTTTATACACTGCACAGCCCACCGCCACCTCTAAATGACGCTGACTGTGGATGAGTTTAGTTACTCTATCGCCAGACTTGGCACACATCTTGATAAAATCCCATTTCTTAGATTTATTCATCAAATCAAATTACATCCCATAAAATATTTTAATTTCTCTTCTCCAAATCTTATACTTAACCTTGTTTTTATGTTAGTTTTATATCTGATATTGATTTATGTTGTATGAACAAGTTAAATTTTATGTAAGTTGACGTGATGGTGTTAATTTGTGGGTGTCTCCCTCATCAACGCACCGTCTGTCTGAAAATTGGGTTAGTTCACCTAAGCAATCTCTTTATTAAGAAACTCTCCTTTTTTTTTCCCGACACCATCCAGTATTTGTACAACTCATGTTCTTTACAGTTGATTAAAGAGGACTATTATTAATCTGCGCTGCAGCATCGTTTTGTTAAGCTATTTATTGAGCACTTATTTTAATTTTTAAGCTGCGTTTTAATGTTCAATCAATAATCTGTTCTTCCACACTCTGGTTGCCATGAATTTCCTAATATAAAACCAATTCAAATGCTTTCATTTTAAACGGGAAAATAGCCAACAAGCTTATTATAGGTTAAAAAACAAGAGTTTGATGAGAAAATAGAAAGAAATAAGATACTTTTGTTAAAGAATTGGTTTCCTATTAGGGAAGAATCTTAATATTTTAGGGGGAAAATGTTTAGGCAAAAAAAAATCCTCTAGCTTGGGTAAAAGAACAATAACTTAAAGGAGTGGAGCAGCTCTATAATAAATAGTGGCATTGAATATCGCCCACATGAATTAGGCAGTGAGGCCTCGAATATATCAACATTCAGTACTCTTCTCTTTGTTTTCCGTATTTTTTATGCACCATATAATCAACAGCCTCTCTGTGTCTCTCACATATTTAAACCATAATCAATGGAGAGTCAAAGGCTACGACTCAATTACTCTTCAGGCCACAAGGTCAAAAATGGATATTCATAAAGAAGTGGGCAAATTATTTAAGAATGAATGCCTGCATCTTTAGTTTGCAAATTTTGTGAATTTTACAGACAATTTTGCTTCATCAATGTAGTGGAGATATGTACAAGACCCTTTTCATAAGGAGTAGCAAAAAAATAATGGCACTGATCGAATATGCACAAAGATAAACACGCGGGGCCATTTGTCATACTAAGACTCATCTGGCTTTGGTTCAAGTGTTACAGGAATCTTCTCCATATGATCACCACGCAACACCTCCACAGTCACCTGGATATCAAAAATTAAAATGATTTAGCTATATATTACAGAATCCGTGACTGGTGTTTCACTCTTTATATGAAAAGAAAGTTTATCAAAGCCGCCACTCAAAAACTAGGGCAGAGGTTAAATCATATTTTCTACAATGATTTGTATATGGGTTCATATATCATTGTGATTTGCCATTTAAACTAGAGTTATCATATAACATTAGAAAGAAGTTGCGTGTAATATGTATTTGGATTTTAAAAGGCTTGATTCAAAGAGTGAAGAATAAGATGAAAATGTTAGTATGAGATCATCGAATCCCAACATGATAGTATAAGACAATTGAATCCTGAAACGAATGAAAATTGGAGCACATTCCTCAAGCTTTGTACTTGCTTGCAAGACCATATACTCTAGCTTGCTGTATAAGGCAAGTACATGTGTGAATGCAATGGCAGAGCTGCATACAATGTCCTCCAAATGTAAAACCCCTTCGTCCCCCGTTCTATACTGATGTTAAAATTCTGCCTCCTGGTCACCCTAAAATTAGAATTCTAGTTTCATCCATGCAGTGCATGTTTGAGCACAGTTGGTACTAAATTCTCAACATTAGTTTCTGATAACAAAGTCCTGAGGGTATACCAGATCAGTAGCATCACGACTAAGATGTATCACTAGCCATAGCATTATGAAAATTGATGCAAGCATACACTGATCTATACAACCAAAATCCCACTATTTCAGACAATACCTCTACACACATATCAACATTTGGAAAAAAAAAGACTCTTCCCACACTGAAAACTGTGTCGGATAGTATCATTTAGCATAAGCATGTGACACTATAATTCTCATTCTTATTGAACTAGAAATATTCCAATATGAATATATGGAAAACTATCTTCAAATATCCCGGGCATCCATCAGAAAGAAAGGTGACATGAGATCAGAGAAAAAGAATCACATCATACCTTATCACCAACTTTGCATTGGTCAAGAATTCTGTACAAGTCACTGCCATTTGTAACCTTTTTTCCATTCACAGATGTTATGATGTCACCTAATATGAGTCTACCATAGGCATCACGTTTAGTTGGTAGTAAACCCTGCACAACAAAACTGATCAGCTCTACCTAAAATGAAGCACAAAACCTTCAACCTTTTAATAATAAAATTAAGGAATAAAAGAAATAAGCTTTAACATTAATAGAACATAATATTAGTTTTATAGAAAATGAAAGGCAAATTTGTCAAAAAATGGTCATACATACCGCTTTGCCAGCTGGACCATTTGCTGGAGCATCTAAGACCTCGTGGGGTGAATGTGGATTAACGAGGTGACTGACTAGTCCACGTTTGAATTAGGGATTTTATCCAGAACAGTGCTTCCCAAACCTCACTAGCTGGTCAACAATACCATTCACCTGAGACATATGAATGAAGATTAATTTTTTAAGCATAAGGAAAAAAAAAAAAAAGAGTTATGCATCCTGGTTCAATAAATATGAAGATAATAAAGTTTTCCTCATCAAAATCAAAGTCAATGTGTAGACAATAACTCACAGTGTCAACTGGAATAGAAAATCCAACGCCAGAGGATGCACCGGATGGAGAATAAATAGCTGTATTTATTCCAATAAGGCTTCCTGAACTATCTAGAAGTGGGCCTCCACTATTACCAGGGTTAATGGCAGCATCTGTTTGTATAACATCTTGAATCGGACGGCCAGTAGCAGCAGAACTAATTTCTCGGCGAAGCCCACTACAGGCAAAACACATGTAGCTAAATTATAAAGGTGTCAATTTACAAGGATAAAGAAGATAAATAATAATTTATTTTTACCTGATCACACCAGTTGTTAGGGTATGGTCAAGTCCAAACTGCAAAAGCATAAATATCAATTAGAATCTTACGGTCAAAATAAGAAAACATAATGAAACTTGCAAAGTATGATCAGTAACTTAGATGAAGTGCTAAAGTTTTGATCAGGGCCTTGGATGATAAACAAATTTTTTAAATCAAGTTAGAAGTAGACTATAACTTTTATGAAATCAGATCTTCATACTAAACAAAGCACAATTGATAATCAAAGAATCTGGATTAATAAATCCGTGCACGCATAAAAAAAAAAAAATAATAATAATAATAATAAAAGAAAAAGCATATTCAAGGTGCCATCTTCTTAGCCATTCCCTAACAAACATATTTGGCAAATGAATATAAAATGAATGTAGTCCATCCTTTATGTTTCGCAGTATTAATACCTATCAAACATCTAAAAACTTCATGCATGCTTTCTATGAGAGAAATCACAGTCTTCTTGTTAAAGTGAAAACTTCACCGTATCTTCTATAATTATACTATCATTGAGTTAATGTGTTGTTTCTAATGGTTAGCAGAAAATTAGATAGGAACCAACCATGCAATCATGTAAAACATGGTGCGAGTATAATATAAAAAGTGTACTCACTGGGTTGCCAATAGCAAATACTTTCTGACCAACAAGCAAGTCTGCAGAGACACCAAGGGGTATAGGTCTTAGTTTGTTTTTGGGTGCCTCAATACGCAACACAGCAACATCTTTGTCTTGGTCAAATCCAACAACTTTTGCATCATAAGCCGACTGATCGGCAAGAGTGACCCTGTACATCACTAGCGCAAATTTAAATGCCAATAGTAAGGACATACTATGATCTACCTTCAAACTATAACTTCGCTCAAATGTTTGATTCCTACCAGATTGGTGAATGGCAGACAGTCATTAAGTACCACATATATGAAAAGTAAAGGGACACAAACTATCTATTACTATGACTATAGAAACATGAAACAGTTACATAAGAGCTGCTTTAGCCCTTATTTTTGCGTAGAATCTGTAGGCATATACTGTCAATGACTTTTTGCACTTTTTAGCCCAAGACTTTTGCTATTACAGTGCACAATGCTCCTTAATAAATACTAGTTAAGATCATCATTGCTAATAATGTTCTGATTACTATAACGAACAGTTAAGATGATATTACAAAACTTTGACCATGGATAACGGATGTAATTTCTAACTCAGGTTACATTCCAAGTAATTAATGATGACAACCATTGCAAAAATTAGTCAATGAATTTTTTCATTTAACCTCGAACCTCCAAGACTTGTGTATCCGGTAAAGTGATAAGCATTAACTGAGGTATAATTTCATGAACTCATAGCAGCATCCAAAATCTGAATAATGAAATAATTTAAGGGATAAGTTGTGCCTGTATTACTGGGACTAAATTCCGGTAACAGCAACAAAATAACATGTTTTTGGTTACATACAAAGTAATAATTGCAACTTGATATGTCACAAAACTAGGAAAATTTACTTAAACTGATAATAAAATCTGCAGATGCTAATAAATGTTGTACATGTATTATATATTTGACTTTCAGTATCATCAAAACCATGTTATGATAACAATAACACGGATTCAGATTCGACCCTTGACCCAATAAATATACAACCTCCTCTTTAATGTATATCAAATATTTGATGTTTTCAGGGAGGGAGCCACTAAGGGCGCCCCCACTGACCCTGGAAAATTCTGCTAGTCCACTTATATTTTGTATTTTTAACAATTCACACCCAATAATTTATTGTACGAAAGTACTCTCGGTGAATATCCACCACTTATTAAATGTTTTATTTTTATTTTTTCTCATACCAAAAATATATTGTAAGCTTGCTCTTGTTTTCTCTTCTAATTGAATATATTTAACAATTAAAATGAGTTCAAATTCAAAGCAACGTACACACAGCAGTAGCAAGACTAAAATGAATGAAATAAATAACAAGAAAGAAAAGGAAACGAACTTGAGATCAGATGCGCCACGAATGACATGATAATTGGTCACAACGTGACCATCTTTATCCCAAACAAAACCCGATCCAGATCCTTGTGGGACCTCCAACACATCCAACGTAAAGGCATCCTGCCTGTATGATTTTAGAAATTAACAGAAATTAAAAATAATGACCAGACAAAATTTGACCATATAACACAATTAAAATCAAAACATATGATTAAATAATTAGTAAGTACCTTACAGCGAGATTGGTAATATAAACAACAGAAGGAGTGTTCTCTTGGAAGAGACGAACAGTGGCGAGCTCATCGGTCTGAAGCTTACGGGAAGGAGTGATAACGAAAGCGGAGGCAGAATCGACGTTAGTGAGAAGAAGAGAAAAGGACAGAACAACCGAAGTACAAAAGATGAAGAAAGAGTCGAGAGATGAAGACAGTAATGGGTTTTTGGTAAATAGGAAGAGTTTAGAGATAGTAGAATGAGTGGGAGTAGAGTTGTAGAGCGAGCTGTTGAGAATGAAAGAGGAGTTCGTGGTGGAGCGAGTTTTGTTGGGAAGAGAAAGGGATCTGGAGAGAGAAAATATAGTGGTGTTGAGTGGTGGTCGTAGTAGTAGTAGCGGTGGCCTGTTTGGAGAGCGAGAAAATGGGGCAGGACTGGAAAGGAAAATAGTGGAAATGAATGAATAAGAAGCCATTTTCAGGCTTCGTTAGAACATTTGGTTAGTTGTAGTTGAAGTACCTTTTATTTGTGTGGAATGGGAATGTGGTAGTGGATGATGATAGAAGAACCTTCTTCTAACATTGACGTCGATTTAAACCCCACTTTATCTATTTAATCTTTCTATCTTGTTATTTAAAAATACTATTTTATTTATATCTATTTAATTTCGATCATGTGACATGACATCCCATTGGACGCCTAAATTTTTTCTTATTTCGAGGATTACTTTATATTTTCAAGTAATTCAATATCTTTTTATTAAGATCTTTTAAACTTCTATTTAAAAAATCTTATTATAAATTTATATTTATAAATGCCAATTAATGATCTTAAAATTCTTTTTAAAATTAACTACATTAAATGTCTTAGCTATAACAGCCATCTACCGTAAACATAAGACAATAAATATTGCAGGTTTTTTTTTTTTTTTTTTTCCATTCTTTGTAATTAATCAATAGGGTCAAATAATAAAATGTTTAAAGTTTAAACTTTAGAGTAATACTATACATACAATATGGTGTTATGATAAAAGATGATTGATCGAAAATTTATTTTTAATTAAAAATCAGCCAATTATCTTTCATCGTATTATTTTGTATATGTAGTATTATACTAAACTCTAACCTAAAGATTGGGTTATCAAAATGCCTTGAAGATTAGTTTTGCTACAATGTTGCAGTTAACCGTATTAGAATTTGAACCCGCCTAGAAGTAATGTTCTACACATTCAGAGAGACCGCCGCGCGGGGGGGTGCCCAACTGTGACCACAAGATTAATTTTCCTACTCAATGTTATGAAAATCTGTGATCCAAAAAATGATTTATGGATTTCTTCCATTCCCTTTTCCAAGCTCAGTGTTTTCTCAAAATTGGAGAATCCATTTCTTCCATTCCCTTTTCCAAGCTCAGTGTTTTCTCAAAATTGGAGAATCCAAATTCCATATTTGCAGGGCAGAACTAGAGATTGAAGGAAGGTCATGGAACTTGAAAACTCAACTTACCAGTCATCCCTACCTCGTAACCACAATTTCTNCGAATTAGAATTTGAACCCGCCTAGAAGTAATGTTCTACACATTCAGAGAGACCGGGGGGAATGTGAAAATGCCAAAACTGCACAACTGTGACCACAAGATTAATTTTCCTACTCAATGTTATGAAAATCTGTGATCCAAAAAATGATTTATGGATTTCTTCCATTCCCTTTTCCAAGCTCAGTGTTTTCTCAAAATTGGAGAATCCAAATTCCATATTTGCAGGGCAAAACTAGAGATTGAAGGAAGGTCATGGAACTTGAACACTCAACTTACCAGTCATCCCTACCTCAGTAACCACAATTTCTCAAAGGAAGAGGCAAAAAGAATCGAATTTACAAAATTTTCTTCAAGGGCCTTAGTTCCCTGGGCAACTCTTCAAAATTTCCAGCATTTACATCCGATTGTAGCATTGGTCTCTCGCCAATTTTCCAAACATTGCCCTCCGCCAGATGCTCTTTGCTTGGTGTCAGCATTACAAAATTTGGATCAGCCCTTTGATAACTGCAAGATGCTCAACCCATATAAGTTTGGTAATATGTCATAATCAAATTGCCTTGAAAATGCAAAGACAACATAAACCTACTAATTATTAAATATAAGCAAATATTTATATATTTATCTTTTGAACTAAAACAAATAAAGTGTACCTCGCTTCTCTAAGATTTTCGACTCTGAGACCAAATCCATATTGTGTCTTTCCTATTGCACGATCTCTAGTAGCTGGAAGACAACGGGTATGTTATTACGTGGAGGATTATTCTACTACTAATTATATATAGCACATCATATGCATTCAAACCAAGATTTGAAATGATAAGAGGCAATCTCTGGTATAATTGAACTGATTAATGAACGTAGTGATCTACCAACTACGGTTACCTGAAATGTTGAAAGTAAAAGATGGTTTCCACCATGACTTAAATGCCAGCGTTAAGGTTGAACTGAGAGGTCCCAACTTGCCCTGGGAAGATGAAATGTGGATAACTATCAAACTTGATGCAGTGCATATTTACAAACATAAGATTGAAAGTATTACCTTCAGCAAGAAGTTTTTATTGGCTTGCCACGATGCAGCTACTTGAAAGGAGGATTCTGGGGTATTATTTGAAGTTCTGGCATCATCAACCCTGTATAACATGGTCCTATTAAACTAGGATATCACCACATTAAACAAAGTAATGTTATCACTTAGAATACCTTGTCTGTAACTCAAAACCAAAGTCAATATAATTTGTGATCCCAATGATTTCATTTTCTTCAAAGGGGTTTTTCACCTGCTTAGTTGAAGCAGTTACCAATTTGTTAGTAAAATATTGCAAATAAGGTTGGACACAACCAATATCAAGTGAAAAAATGATAGCAAAAATGACAAATAATACTTTAATTGATCGAACATAAGCTTCTCATGGCATGGCATCAAATGGACCTACAAACTACACATAGATCATCTAATAGAAGTGCTCCTTGATATTGTAGGCATGAAATTTTAGAAAAGGATCAGTATGTTACTATGAAATGAGTTCAGGTCCAAACTCAAGAAATCAAACTCCAGTATATTAGAAAAAGAAAAATATATCTTTTCTAATATAATATATTGGCTCATTATAGCAATTTCATTTCTGAAACAGACTCAGAATATGGTATCATAAACTTCTATTCCTTCTGTTACATTTATCTAACCAACTACAAGTAAACATTCCAAAATTAAAGGCAGGGAACAATCACAATCAAAATGCAAATTTTAAACACATTTAAGCTGATGCCTATCCTTGCATCTGTAACAATAAATACACTGACATCATAAGTAAAAAAAAAAAAAATTTTCATAACCTATGATTTTCTGCCGGTACCCTATATTCTGATAAAGAAATAGTAGAGAAGTTTGCAATTTTAGTTGCTACTGAATTTATTGACTTCATGAATTAATTCATAGAAATCTTCTATCCACAATTTTTCTGTACCCTGGAATTTAAGGTGGATATGATGCAACTATTGTCTTTGACACATTGGCAATGAGCTGGATGCCTAAGTCCAAAACCGATCTTCATTCTAAAACACTAATCTGTTCTTCATTCTTGAAAGAGAAACAAAGGGGCAGACTGAAGGGGTATTTTGTTCAAGCCCATGCAAAAACTTGTTCAATCTACTAAAGCTATTACATATCTCCAGAAATTGATAAATAATAGGATAGTCATGATATATTTTTGCAGCACAAGTTTTATGAAAACCCAATGCAATTCAACAGTTTGTATAACGCCACATGTTGCAACAGAACAATTTACTAATGATACAGACGCATAAATCAAAACAAAGATTCGATTAAAAGCAAGAGATGAAACAGTGAAGCATACCCGTCTTTGGACCACTACATGTTGATAGAATGAGGCAATGAACTGCAGTAAAAAATTGGTATAAGAACTAACTCTTGTGCACGATAAATTTTTTACAAATACTTTCAGAAAACAACAATGAAGAATATCTGGAAGCACCAGGAAACTGTGTCAGATGCATACCATGCAGTAGCCAGAATTAAAATAAAGCATTAATTTCAATATGGTTTATTCTATATAGCATTATCATTGATACACTGACCCAAAAAGTAATAAATGATGATCTTGTCATAAGATAACATGTTGATTACTTCTTTAAGGTCCTATTTCAGGGTAGTAAAGGAAAGACTTCCTCTGATTTTCAATTGAAACAGGATGGGCAGTGCAAAAATCTAGATGGAAACTCATATGGGCAGCCACATCCTTAAGCATTAGTTGCTTTGTTATCACATATACTAGACCATAAATTGGAGCAAAAAAGGGGAAAAAAAACAAATTTCATTCTGTAATTCTATAAGGAGAACAGAAGTTTGAATTACCACTGCCACAGAAAAAAAAAGAAAAAAGAATTTACTACAAAAAGAAAAGGAGAGAAACTATTCACTCTCCAGGTTTTCACAAGAACATATGTTCTGCTTTCAGAAACAATGTTGCCAATAGACTGCATAAATACAGATAAAGAAAAGAGTTAAAGCCTAAGTCTGGCCTACACATCCATTGCTGGCTCACTTATTCATCCATTTACTAAAGTAGCCTCACATATTGTATATGAGAGACGATTGATAAAATATGTCCTAATTTATACCATTTTCCGGATAAGCACATCTATGCAAGAAATAAAAAGCAAAAATTGATGAAGCAATTGAACTATTCACCATAGAGCTTCATTAATATTACAAAATTAAAGATCATCTCTATGCTATATAATGCAAAGACAAACAATCTGTGGAGATGCAAATCTTGAAATAACATAAACTAAGAGAAAAACCACCTGAGACCTTTTAGCAAGTTCAAGGCCAAAATTGAATGAAGGGCTCAAGGGACTGCCTGATCCTACTCCATAGCCAATCGCACAACTCCAATTCATTAAATTTTTATATTTCATATCTTCTTTACCTCCATCTGATAAAAGCAGCAACATGGTGAACAGTGTAAGTTAGATCATTAAGATGATGTATGAAAAAGAGGAAAAAATAAGTAAAACCCTGACATTCACTACTCAATTTATATGCCAAGCACATCACCCATAATGAATACACAAGTGAAGCATGCTCATATTCTAAGTTAGAGATAAAATAAAATAATGAATTTACTGAAGACCAAAGAAACAATGCTCAAAAACTAACAGTGAATTCGTAACTTGCAAAAGGAAAAAAAAAATAAAGTAAAACATATATAATAAACTGTCTAGAGTTTTTGGAAGAGAAACCTAAACCATATGAAACATACTTTGTGGCTCATACTGCACTCCAACAGTGAGCCTTCCCATCTTGCTTACCAGCCATGCACACTTTGGCAACTCATCTTTTACTGCAAAGAACAGCAATGTTAATCTTGTGCATAGATAAATGAGATCTTGTAAGTTCAAATTTATGACACCCAATTAAGCAGAAATAGCTATTAAAAACTCAATATCTCTAAAGGCCAATGTAGACAAACAATGAGGGACCAAGTGAAAAGATTCTACGAGAGAACAAGAAAGGGGCTGGGGCTAAATAATGACGGTGCTGAAAGTGAATATATCAAATTACATGGCATTCTTGGTTATTAGTTGTGAGGGGGAAAGGAGTTGGGGGCAAGAACAAGGGTGCTAAAAGTGAATAGATTATATTACTAGTGGTATTCTTGGTTATAAGTTTTGAAGGATGCCCTTGCAAATTAAAAGAGAGCCATTCCATTTATTGCCACTAGCATGCTCAACATCAAAGTCCCACCCAATGCATGCATACATGCGCCTGGATGGCTAAAATATGATTAAGACAAAAGACCTCTAGATCAAGTTGAAGAGTTGTAAAAATAAAATAAAATGCAATTACAATGTTAATACCATTACATTGCTGTAGAAAAAACTTATTGGAAGTAAATGCATACAATAAAACACTATTATGGTACAAATACACGTTTAAAGCAAATTCCCTAAGGCAAAGATGGTGATAACTGCAACAAAATTACAACTGAGGGGACCATGGCATAACGCATCCAAATTATACTCATTGATAAGCATTGAGGTCCATACAGGCAAAAGGCATAAGTGTGGCTCCAATTGACAAACTTTCTGATCCATATCTCAATCCCATAACACCGTAATCTTCGGCTGATATTCTGCAGAGAACAGTAAGCTCTGTCAATAGAATACATTTGATAAGTATCTAAACTAACTAGCTTAATAATCCATATGATATTGTTTTATTAATAGGATGTACCTTTTCTTCATTAGCGCTGGAAAGATGCCAAATGCTCCAAAGCCCAATTTTGGGTAGTAAACACATGACCTCATCTGTAAAACACTAAAGCCACAGCATCCAAAGCAATGTTTACAAAAAAAAAAAAAAACAAAAAAAAAAAAAAAAGGCTCTTGAATAAGGCAAGCAGTAATAAAAATGAAAGCGAATTTCACTTCAAAAGACTTGCTTACGGATCAGAGTTTGATACAAATAGGTCCATGAATGTATGAGGATCATCCACATCACTGCTCATGCAATTGAAACATTAAAAACACATAGTTAAATAATAATTCCCAATTCATTACATTGCACAATTTTTGCAACTATAGCACAATAAAGTACCTTTGCCAGCGAAATAATGCGTTACCAACTATTTTCTCCTCGGGCTTATGATCAAGGGGACCTGAAACCTAACCATGTTAAACAAAAGAAAAACAATCAATATCAGGCCAAAGAAATTTATTAACACCACCAAAGAACAAAAAGTGAAAAATTCAAGATAATTACAGTTGCAATCAAATCAACATGAGGATCATCAATGGGCTTCAACATAATTCTAGCGCTAAAACGCCTAGCTTCTTCAAAATAATCATCGAAAAGGCATTTCAATGCAAGCTTCCCAAACAACAAATTGTACGAAGATTCCAACATCCTGCACCACCGTCGTCTCAGGTTATTCAATTACAATAATATAATAAGAGTACTTCTTCCTCTCCATAATATATTCACACTTTTTTTAAAATCCCGACTTAAAATTACAGGAATTCGCTAAACAAGAGAAATAAGAAGTGGAATTTAAACTGAACCTGGTACGGGCCGCGAGCGGAGGGAAATCAAAGAGCGGTGGAACGAGAACCATCGGCGGTGGAGGCTCTTTGTTTAACCAGTTTCCCATTTTTGTCTCTGTGCCAATTCACGAAGTCGAAAGAAAATGAATGTGAAATAAAAATAAATTTTGAAATCGAAATTGCTATGGTTATGGTTCTGGTTATGGCTATGGCTGTGGCTGTGGCTGTGGCTGTGGCTGTGGCTAATCAGAACTGAAACATCCCGCATCTCGCTCTTCACCTCCATGACTGTTTCAACTCTCCCACACAGGGCTCAGGGGGCTCCAGTGACGTGGCACTGTCTGGCGAATATAATAATGACGTGGCATTTTATAGTAGATACGATATAATTTAAATTTTGCAGTTTCGGGGTTATTTTCAAGACTCCGATAATTTTCATTTATTATATAAACCCCTCTTACTTTCAAAATAAACAATAAACGCCTCCAATACTATAGTTAGGGCCGATTGGTTAATAGATTAAGAGATATGCTTCCCTGATCATTGATTTTGAGATAAGTATCTTAACTAGGAGAAGCCAAAAATTGATTTTGAGATATGGTTATGTCTTTCATGATTTTGGTTTATACTTGGACGTTCTTTCAAGAAAGGTTTGCGCTAATTGCTATCTTCTATCTAGTGCGGGTCTTTCAATTGTGAGAAAATGACAATTTCGTCCCCAAAATTTGGCTTGGGTGACCCTTTAGGTTTTTATAATTTTTTAGAAATATTTTGATTCCTATAATTAAAAAACTTTAGAAACTACCTCAGAGACCAAAAAGTTATTAAAATATTATTTAAACCAAACCTCAAAGAAGAAATTTCTAATTATATAATGTGATGCTTTTAGTAATTATGAAGAGAGTTTTGGTCCATTGAAGTTGGAGATGGTGCCAAATATTATAATAATAATAATATATTCGGTAGTCGGTTGAGCAAAATATAAGGTGTTGGATTGGATCCAATTTGTTTTGTAAGTTATAATAAAAAGGCCTTACGTGTCATTTTCAAATCTCAAGCACAAAGGGTAGCTTGGTTTTGGTTGAGTTGAATAAGAATGTTCCAAGAGAAGAAGCGAGCAACAAGGAAATATTATTTAAAACATGAAGAGGAGGATTCAAACACACTTGTTTTTAGTTCATTTATTTTTGTGTGTGTTCGTCCCATCTTCTTGTTATATTATAATGGTGGAAGTTATAAGAAGATGACATCACTATGGTTGTAGGTAAAATACTAGGAATCATCCATACCTTAAATATATTATTGCTCATTGAAAGTTGAGGACCCACCCAGATTTGGGTGGTTATTAATATTATGAAGTCGAGTGGTTGTGGTTCATGCATCACGACCTTTCCGTGAACCTCCCTTCTACCCATTTTTGACCATCTAGTTCTACAGCTACAACTTGGACTAAATGAACCGCCTCCTCGCCCTTTCAATGGCCATTTAATTATTTATATATTAACAATATTAATACAATTATTTGAAATGTGTTATATTTCATATATCATTGTAATAATTTTCAATAGAGTCTTTATATGACTCAAATTTTTTATTATAAAGAATTTATCTTCAACAAACTCTTTATCTTTAAAATATAAATTAGAGGGTGAGTTTGACTCTTTACATTTAGAGAGTCAAATTTTACTCTCTATCCTAATTTTAATTAATAAACTATAAATTCTTATATATTTTATTTATTAATTTTCTCTCCCATTAAGTCTTTTTCTTAAAAATAAAGAACATCTTCATTAACTGTAAAGAGTCTATTAGATTTGAATAAAAATTGTATTTTTTATATTTTAAAATCAATAAAAGTGTTCTTTATTTATAAGATGCTCTAAAACTACACTAAATATATTCTTTTAAATCAATATTGATGGCTAGAAATTAGGATTTTCTTTAGGAATTATATATTTAATTGAAAAAATATTTTATTTATTATTTATATTTCAACATTAAAGACAAAGAATTAAAGGTAGATGTGGTGTGGGATCCCATATTTTTCCAAACAGAGAGGGAAAAAGGAAAAAATAATTAAATAATTAAAATTAAAAACGTACAGCACACCAAGCGAAGGATGGCGCCACTGAGAACCATCGTTCTGAAACAACAATAAGAAAAAACAAACTTGGCTGTGGCCTCTCGGGAATGTAGGCTTCTCTTCTTCTCTGTTCACCACTCCTTTATTTATATTCATCCCATCTCCTTTATATTCATTTTATTTCTTTCTTTTTACAATTCACTTCAGATTCAACAAATCTGTTTTCAAACATCTTTTGTAAGCCTGCTTTTTGTGACCCAAATGTAATTTTCATGTTCTGTTTCTCTTTGTGATCTTGGGTTTGAGTTATGTATTGATTCTGTAATTTGTCTATGTTGNAATTGTGTTATTTATATTTTAAAATTAATAAAGATACTCTCTTTATTTATAAGATGCTCTAAAAATACATCAAATATATATATATTTTTTCTTTTAAATCAATATTGATGGCTAGAAATTAGGATTTTCTTTAGGAATTATATATTTAATTGAAAAAATATTTTATTTATTATTTATATTTCAACATTAAAGACAAAGAATTAAAGGAAGATGTGGTGTGGGATCCCATATTTTTCCAAAGAGAGAGGGAAAAAGGAAAAAATAATTAAATAATTAAAATTAAAAAAGTACAGCACACCAAGCGAAGGATGGCGCCACTGAGAACCATCGTTCTGAAACAACAATAAGAAAAAACAAACTTGGCTGTGGCCTCTCGGGAATGTAGGCTTCTCTTCTTCTCTGTTCACCACTCCTTTATTTATATTCATCCCATCTCCTTTATATTCATTTTATTTCTTTCTTTTTACAATTCACTTCAGATTCAACAAATCTGTTTTCAAACATCTTTTGTAAGCCTGCTTTTTGTGACCCAAATGTAATTTTCATGTTCTGTTTCTCTTTGTGATCTTGGGTTTGAGTTATGTATTGATTCTGTAATTTGTCTATGTTGTTGGGTTGAAATTCTACCTCTTTAATAAGTTCTAATGTATTGTGATTACTTAAAAGGGGATGTATTGCATGTACTTTGTTTTGTTTTCAACTAGATCAATCTGTGTAACTTTCGGAATATGAAAACATGGGAGGTCTTTTTTTTTGTGACTTTTAGCCAAAACTTTGTTGGTTCATTTGCAGTATCAAAGTTCTTTTCTTTTTCATTTTGTAATGTGAGAAACATGTAAAGTACAATTATTTTATTTTTATTTGTTTTTGGTTTTGGTTTTCTTTGGAGTTTTTCTGATTTAATTCTCATTTCTTATAGTTTTTGTGATTTAGTTCTCATTTTTAGTTCTTTTTGTTTTGCAGAAAGATTTCAATGACAACTAGTATAGCTGCTGGAAGTGGCAATCTTCCTTTTGGAGTGATTGGCTACAAGGGTCAAGGTTGCAAACAAGCTTCTTTGATTTCAAGTGTGACACTTAGTGGATGTGTACAGAGAGAGCTTTCATGGTATTTGATAAAAATATCGGTCTCTGTGTTAAATTGGTGCACATAATTCATTTGATGTTTGAACACTAAACTCATTTTATTTGGGTTTTTAATCATCTATAAGAAAAGATTTTTTTTGAGTCTTCTCTGAATTTCTTCCTAGAATTGATTGGAATTTTACATTTTGCAAAGGACAGGAAGTTTCATGGCTATCAGAATTTCATTGCTTAACTTTAACAAACACACACCAAATGATAACCACAAATACAAACTTTCAATTTTAGCGATGTGTGGTTCTGGAGAAATTTGCCACATAACAAAATGGTGGTGAAGATCTCCGAATTTGTATTCATACACAATAATCGACATCTTTTAACTGTTTGTATATGTTCTGTCTGTTGCTTTGTGAGAAAATGGCCATTTCATATTTATGCATTTAACCTATGTGTACTCTTTTAAAATCCTCCAGGTCATGTGCAGTATCCAAATTTTTGCTGTCCCAAAAGTGTAATTTCATTCAATCTCCTGTGAGTGAGAGATGGAAGTCCTTAAAAACAGTCTCTGTATCAGCTTGCTTGAGAGATGCATCCACAAAGTATTTTGATTTTGCTGTCATTGGAAGTGGAGTTGCTGGTCTTCGCTATGCTCTTGAAGTTGCCAAACAGGGATCTGTTGCTGTGATTACAAAAGCAGAGCCTCATGAAAGCAACACGAACTATGCCCAAGGTGGTGTTAGTGCTGTGCTGTGCCCATCAGATTCTGTGGAGAGTCACATGCAGGACACCATTGTAGCAGGGGCTCATCTATGTGATGAGGAGACTGTTAGAGTGAGTTCCAGAACGAGTAATTCTGCTTCATAGTATCATTTGTTTATCAACTATGATTTCACATTACATTTAATTGTTGAGGTACTAAAACGTAAATTTGAATGGCAAGCTATTTTGGATTTAAACATGATCTAGATGGTCCTGCAGCAATAAAGGGCATGAGAAAATTCATTATCTCCAAGAAAGAAATTGGAATGATGTTCTGTGCCTCATATCTCTCTAGTCTCATCTGTTATTAGAGTTTTCACATACATGGATTTCCTTAAGTATAAATAAATTGTCAATGACATATTTAGCATAAAAAATTTTAGTCAGTAAATGATGACTTGTTGAGAAATTAGAACATGCAAGGTTGTGCCCATATATTTGTCCCTCCACTTTTTCGACATAAGAACGATTTGATAGGAATCTAAATTTTCCAGCTGCTTAGTTGTTAAGTCTTTTTTATAATTTTGGTAATACTTTGTCCAGGTTGTCTGTACAGAAGGACCTGATAGAATAAGAGAATTGATTGCTATGGGTGCATCCTTTGATCACAGGGAAGACGGAAACTTGCACTTGGCAAGGGAGGGGGGCCACTCCCATCGCAGAATTGTTCATGCAGCTGATATGACTGGAAGAGAGATTGAGCGGGCTCTACTAGAAGCAGTTATTAATGATCCCAATATCTCTGTTTTTGAACACCACTTTGCGATAGATCTGCTAACTTCTCAGGTTCACTATTAATTTTGATTGTAAAGTCTCATATTCTGTTTCAATGGGTAGGTTTTCCATGATTGATCTTTAAGAAGATGCATAGGTTTTATGTAGTATTTATTTTATACCATGTTAGAATGTTTTATGCGAAGAATATATTTAAGTTCTTCATTGATTCTGGTTATATTTAGATTTGACATTGTGGCTTCAATCATGCAGTATAATCAGATACTGAGATGAATTGTGTTTGGCATTGTAGGATGGTCCTAACACAGTTTGCCATGGTGTTGACACTTTAAATACTGAAACACAAGAGGTGACAACTAGCTTACTTTTATTCTTCTTGCATCTTATTTTGGCAACAGTTTCCAAACTAACTTCACATTGTGTTCTGATGCTTTACCTTTGTCACAATATCAGGTTATACGATTTATTTCAAAGGTGACCTTACTAGCATCAGGTGGGGCTGGGCATATCTATCCGTCGACAACAAACCCTCCGGTATTTTATGTTTAGTAGTTTCTCTTGTGAATCCTTGTTTCCTTCAGTATGTATCATTCTTTCTGTTCCTGCAACTTCAAGAGAAAATTTTATCACCTGCATCTTATATTTTGCACAGACTGATAGCAAGTGAATAATGAACATTTGTTGATCAAGTGAATGTGTAAATAGGTTGTGTTCTCTCTTATATTTTACACAGATTGATAGCTAGTATATTGCTACTCAAATTGTTTTCATTCACATAAGGGGGCCAAAATTCGGTTTTTCTTCTGTACTGTCTATGTGTAAGAGAGAATCTGAGAGTATTGGCAATCATTTTTTGCATTGCCCTAATGTTTTTAAGTTATGGTCAACGCTTTTTGGCTTCCCAGTTGAGGTGGGCTGTGTAGTGATTATTATTTTTTGAGTTGTTTTCCTGGAGAAAAATCGAAGAATATTTGAAGACCACAGGGAGAGGAGAACTTTTTCTTATGGGATAAGTTAGACTTTGGGTTTCTCTTTGGGCTTTTCTACTGAACTTAGAGATATGTCTTTTCTTTATTCATCATAATTGGGAATTAATAATAAATAAAATTTTATGCAGATTCCTATGAGGGAAAAAAAGAAAGGTTGCTCCTCTACCTAATTCACCATCATATTTTATCTGTTTTTATAGGTGGCCACTGGAGATGGAATGGCTATGGCCCACAGAGCTGAAGCGGTGATTTCCAATATGGAGTGAGTTTACTTTCAGAAATTTTCTTTTAGTTCTCATTATTTCATATATAGTCATATTGTGAAAACCACTGGAGATGGAATGATTTTTCTGTTTATACTTTATAAGGTACATAAATCAGTCTACTGGAGCTTTTGTTTCATTTGTCCAAGAGTTTTATAAATTGTTGTATCACTATTTTTCTCAGGTTTGTTCAGTTCCACCCAACTGCCTTAGCTGATGAAGGCCTTCCCATCAAACCAACCAAAAGTCGAGAAAACGCATTTCTGATCACTGAAGCCGTCAGGGGTGATGGAGGCATTCTTTACAACTTGGGCATGGAACGGTTCATGCCCCTGTATGATGAAAGAGCTGAGCTTGCACCTAGGGATGTGGTGGCAAGAGGCATAGATGACCAGCTTAAGCAGCTCAATGAGAAGTATGTGCTACTCGATATAAGTCACAAGCCCAGAGAGAAGATCCTCTCACATTTTCCCAACATAGCTGCTGAATGCCTCAAGTATGGTCTAGACATAACCCGCCAACCAATCCCAGTGGTTCCTGCTGCACATTACATGTGTGGGGGAGTCCGAGCTGGGCTTCAAGGGGAGACAAACGTGCAGGGCCTGTATGTGGCAGGTGAGGTTGCATGCACAGGTTTGCACGGAGCCAACCGGCTAGCTAGCAATTCATTGTTAGAGGCATTAGTTTTTGCACGAAGAGCTGTCCAGCCTTCAATTGATCACATGAAGAGCTCTAGCCTTGATCTCAGTTCTTCGAGTTCTTGGACCCAACCAGTTGTGGCAAAGTCACTTGGGAGTAATATAATGCTCAATATTTTGAGGAAAACTAGGGAAGTGAGGAAAGAACTGCAGTCAATCATGTGGAAGTATGTGGGAATTGTTCGGTCTACAACGAGGCTAGACACTGCAGAGAAAAAAATAGCTCAGTTGGAGGCTAAATGGGAGACATACTTGTTTGAGCAAGGGTGGGAGCAGACAATGGTTGGCCTTGAGGCTTGTGAAATGAGGAATCTCTTTTGCTGTGCAAAGATGGTAGTTAGCAGTGCACTCGCTAGGCATGAAAGCCGTGGACTTCACTACACCACTGATTTTCCACATGTTGAGGAAAGTAAAAGGCTCCCGACGATTATTTTCCCTTCCCCTGTAAATAGCACATGGAGTTCAAGACAACTACACAAGCTGCCTGTGTGTTAGCAAGCAAGTGCAGGGTCTGTTTCTAAATACAACCTGCAGAAACTTGTTCTTCACCGAGCACCTCCATCATTTTTTTAATGAAAAACCTGCAATGCATACCTTTGGCAAGAACTGAAGTGCTCCTTGCAGCATTTGGAGAAACTGAATTAGGTTACTTGTTTTTGAAACAATTTTTCTATTTTTTCATCTAATTTTCTGTTATATCGATTGTTGCTGATTCGTAGTTTTGAAAGTAAAAGACAAAAAAAAAGAAAAAAAAAAAAAAGTGTTGAAGTCAAAATCAAACGATTTTGCCACCCTTCAATCTTGTGTTGTTGCCTTTAAAATTAATGTAAATTAGTCCCTGTGGATTTACTGATCCAAATGTAGTAACAAGATTTGCATATCTGAACTGTAATATAAATCAACTCGGATTAGCTCCATTATTGATTATATTTGGTAGTTGGTACTCCTTTTGCATGGTTCCACATTATAAGCTATGATATTATATCTTTAAATTATTTTAATTTAAAGAACAGTAAAACAGTTCATCAGATCAAGGGATCTTACTCTTGCTCTTTATCTCTTTAATGAAGGAGGGACCAGAGACCATGTTACTTTCGCCTCATTTGGACACCATCCCAAATTTTGCTTGTCGGTGGACAACAGGACATTGTTTTTAGTAGCCTCCATCCAAGGTCATGAATAACAAAAAAGTGCCTCTTTCTCTGACCAAATAAAGGGATCAAGACAAGGCCGGGCACCCATTTCAACGTCAAACGCTTGTCTATTCTCAGTCAAATCACAAGAAATTTCTATTTCAATGGTTTAGTGTGATATGAGTGTTCCTTGTTTGTGCTTTCAACTTTCAAGTGCTTTGCTTCGGCAATCATGAACTCCATCAAGCTGTTTTTTATGCTTATATTTTTGGCTTCGGCTTTAGTGGGTGGCGCCAGTTCAAAGGGATGCCAGTTCCCAGCTATATATAACTTCGGGGACTCAAATTCAGACACTGGAGGAATTTCTGCGGCAATGTCACTACTTAATCCTCCAAATGGTGAAACTTTCTTTGGACATCCTGCTGGAAGATTTTGTGACGGTCGTCTTATCATAGATTTTATTGGTAAGCTTGCTAATTGTGATGATTTGATTTCTTCTTTAATGGTATTCTTTTTCTAAGTTTGATGTCTAGTGCAGCTGAGAATTTGAAGTTGCCATACCTGAGCGCGTACCTGGACTCAATTGGGACAAATTTCAGGCATGGTGCTAATTTTGCAACCGGAGGTTCATCTATTCGACTTGGTGGTTACAGCCCTTTTCATCTTGCCATTCAAATTTCTCAATTCATACAATTCAAGTCTCGCACCATGGCTCTCTATAATAAACTTAGCTCCAACAGTTAGTATCTCTGCTGCTTTCTTCTGTTTACAATGATGTGTTTTCTTCTATGCTGCGCGCATTGTCAGTTGTTAAGAGTTTGCTTTTGACCTCTGTGAATTTCAACACCAGGAACAACCTCACCATTGAAGGGCAATCTTCCAAGGCCGAGCGACTTCTCCAAGGCATTATATACAATTGATATTGGACAGAATGATCTTGGCTATGGTTTTCAACACACGGATGAGGAACAAGTTCGAGCTTCAATTCCTGACATTTTGAACCAGTTTTCCCAAGCAGTGCATGTAGGCAACACAACCTTTTGGATTTGATAAACTGCGGTGGCTATCCATAATGATGTTACTAATGCTTATTGTTCTTGTTAATTTTCAGCAATTATATAAGGAAGGGGCAAGGTTCTTTTGGATACATAACACAGGACCAATTGGGTGCTTGCCTTATAGTGTTATATATGACAAATTAAAGCCTAATAATCTGGATCAAAGTGGGTGTGTCAAGCCTCAAAATGAGATGGCTCAAGAGTTCAACAGGCAACTTAAGAGCAAGATATCCCAGCTGAGGGGTCAACTTCCTCATGCGGCAATCACATATGTCGATGTATATTCAGTAAAATATGCCCTCATTAGCAATGCCAAGAACCAAGGTAGGACTAACTTCAATTACTACTTATATTGGAGTTTTTCGTTGTGTGGGATATTATAGTTTTAACTGAAACAAGCATATCCCATCATTTTTATGTTATATACACTTTAACTTAAAAATCATTGATTATGGTAACATTTATCTAAAGCAATTTGAAGTTAGAACACCTAATACATTTTTTTCTGGGATATATGGTCTTGTATCAGTGGTGGTTATAAATAATGAATTTATGATACTGGTTTAATCAAAATGGGTTGTGGTGACAGGTTTTGTTGAGCCAATAAATTTCTGCTGTGGTAGTTTCTACGGTTACCATATTGATTGCGGGAAGAAGGCCATAGTGAATGGAACAGTTTATGGTAACCCGTGTCATCATCCCTCAAGGCACATTAGCTGGGATGGCATACACTACTCACAGGCAGCCAATCTCTGGGTTGCTAGTCGCATTCTCAACGGCTCCTTCTCCGACCCACCACTTTCAATCGACCAAGTTTGCCTTCATGCGGGGAAGATGTGATCATCAGACAAAGGATTAATTTACTTTTCATATTATGACTGCAGTAATTAAGTATTTGTAATGAGAAAAGTTTTAGTTTTGCTTTTTCCTTCCAAATCTTCTGGTCTATCATATTAAATTTCTCCATATTTTTACGTAACCTATGGATAATTTTGATATTAATTAATTTCAGTAAGTTTAAAAAGCCTGGCAACAAAAGTCGTTAGAGTCATGTTCTAATGATAAGGTAACGTCGAATATTGTAATCAAATATAATAGTTTCGGTTGCGCAAATCTAAAAAAATTTGATTTTTTTTTTTTGTTTTTGTTCAATTACATACCTGAGGGTATGTCACACTAACTCTATACTCTGACGTTAATAAAGAACAAAGATGAGTCGGTTAGTACCTGAGGAATAGGAAGTTAGACCAAAAATGCGAAAGTAAATACCAAGACGGATTGACGTTTGTGGGTAGTACCAGTTCAAAGGGATGTGAGTTCCCAGCTATTTATAACTTTGGGGACTCAAATTCAGACACTGGAGGAATGTCTGCAGCAAAATCACAGGTCACTTCGCCAAATGGTGAAACTTTCTTTCGGCATCCTGCTGGAAGATCTTGTGACGGTCGTCTTATTATAGATTTCATTGGTAAGCACGCTAATCGTGATTTAAAAATAATGTCCCATATGTTATTCTTTTTCTAAAGCTGATACTTAGTTCTGCAGCTAAGAGTTTGAAGTTACCATACTTGAGCGCATATCTGGACTCAATTGGGACAAATTTCAGGCATGGTGCTAATTTTGCCACTGGGGGTTCATCTGTAAGACCTGGTGGTTATAGCCCTTTTCACCTTGCTATTCAAATTTCTCAATTTATACAGTTCAAGTCTCGTACTATAGCTCTCTATAATCAACTCAGCTCCTCCAACCGTTAGTCTCTCTCCCTTCTGTATATCCATCAGTTGGAAGTTTTTGGAGATGCATTATTTGTTGCCAAAATGTGCTTAATTTTGACTATGTGTTCGGTGAATTTTAAACACCAGGAACAACAGCACCATTCAAGAGCATTCTCCCAAGGCCCCAGGACTTTTCCAAGGCATTATATACAATTGATATTGGACAGAATGATCTTTACTATGGTCTTAACCACACAAATATTGAAGAAGTTCGAGCATCTATTCCTGATGTTCTAAATCAGTTCTCCCAAGCAGTGCAAGTAAGAACCGCAACATCACCTTTTGTGTATGATCGGTATAATGATAATACTAAAATACTAATGCTTGTTCTGGTTCATGTTTCAGCAACTGTACCAGGAAGAGGCAAGATTCTTTTGGATACACAACACAGGACCAGTTGGGTGCTTACCATATAGTGTTATATATGACAAATCAAATCATGTACCTGTTAATCTAGACCGTAGTGGATGTGTAAAGTCCAAAAATGAGGTGACTCAAGAGTTCAATAAGCAACTTAAGAACAAGATATCTGAGCTGAGGGTGCAACTTCCAAATGCAGCATTGACTTATGTTGATGTATATTCAGTAAAATATGCACTGGTTCGCTATGCAAAGAATCAAGGTAACATCAATTGCAAACTATATTTTGATCTTTTATTCTACGGAATATGAAATAGCTTTGGGTGGGATGGGTATAAATGCACATATATAATGATTTTATGGGTTAAACATTTAGATGGTAATGTGGCTTGTATTACCTAAGAATTTTTGGTGGGCATGGTCCCAAATTAATGAGTTATAATGATTTATGTATGGTACGCATCTAGTCATAATGGCTTGTTGGTGGCAGGTTTTGTTGATCCGTTGAACTTCTGCTGTGGTAGTTACTATGGATTCCAGATTGATTGCGGGAAGAAAGCCGTAGTGAATGGAACAGTGTATGGTAACCCATGTGACCATCCATCAATGCACATTTTCTGGGATGGTTTTCACTACTCCGAAGCTGCCAACCTTTGGGTTGCTAATCGCATTCTCAACGGTTCCTTCTCTGACCCATCACTTTCAATCCACCAGGTTTGCTTCCATCCTAGGAATATGTGACCACCAGTTTTAGGGTTTTGAGAACTGGGAATCATCTGTCGTCTGACTTATTAAATATCAATAATGAGAAATTGTTCAAGTTTTTTGGTCTATGCTATTAAATGTGTACTCAGAAAATTGTTATTTTAAAAGGAAAGAACGAGAAGAAAAGGTCAAAATGCATTGAATGATACAGTATGACTTGAATATTAGAAATCAACAGATTTTATTGCTATATATGTTCTTTGGCAGTGTTCAGTCCAGGTTCTTCTACATTTGGGTAAAATATTTACTTCAGAAACAGGGAAGGGGCAAGCATGATCATAAATACTGATATTAATTTCGTGTAGTTGTTCAATCAATTCTATCGTTTTTGTGAGAACAATACAGTTACCACTCAACTACTGCCACTACGTGATGCAAGTTTTGTTCAAAATCAATCCTAGGTGCATATACAGAGGACATTAAGGTGAGAATATTACTCAAATGTCTGTAGAAATATTTAAAATATTCTGGCAAAGACAGGTAGGTAGGTGCACCAACAGAGAAAATGAAACCCCACCATTTATTAATTAGAGTTTAAGACATACAAAGAAGAATGTGACAAAGGAATTTTATCAGATTTGAGTATAAATGCAACTCTCTTTTAAGACCTGGTGTTCTTTATTTTTCCAAATCTGCCAACAGGAATGGACAAACCAACAACCTAATTCTCAACCTAGAACATAGTTTACAAATGCAGTTATATACATTCTCAGCAATTATGATACTTCAATTTCATCATCTTTTACAATTTTAGGGCTGGTGTCGTCAAGTAAGGTGACTAGTGACCTCGATTTTCTGTTCCGAACCCTCCCTGCATCTTTCAACAGCTCAGCTAATCTTCGCTTCTCATCTTCCACATCTGGGTTCGCTGTTCCAAGCTTCTCTTCTCTCATTCCAACAACATATTCCAAAATTTCAATGGCATCACCTAGCCTGTGAGATCATATATTTTAAAAACAAACAAGAGATATCACAACTAATTCTAGGGAAAAAATAACTTGGCAAGAATAAATTACCTGCCCATTGCATCATAGGTGCCAGCCAGATTGCTGTAGACCCCTAATGTGTCATGGTGATATGGTCCGTATTCCTTCTCCAAAATACTCCTTGCTTCTTCAAAAAAATCAGCTGCCTCATTTATTGAATAACGCTGAACACATGCAAGACCCATTTGGTTCAATGCAATACCAAACAAGGCAGACTTTTTCTCACCGCTAGCTCGAAACTTGGAAATGGCACTTTTCAGGATGTTGTAGGACTCGGAATAATTCCCCATCATATAATACATAACCCCCATCTGAGCTTCAATTCCTGCAATGGTACTTTGTTGACCTGGGGTATTGCCAAATATTTTTAAAGCCTTCTTGAGTAACTTGAGTGACTGATCCAATTCATTCAGAGATTGATAAATGGCAGCAATATCAATTAAACCGCTGGCAATCTCTTCAGAGGGGATTCCAGGATTAGGCCTGCCATAAATTTTGAGTGCATTTTCACAGTAAGACTTGGAGTCCCTTAATTTTCCTATCTTGTGGTACAAATCAGCCAAACGTACAAAAACTAAAGCCACAGCAGGATGATTTTCTCCTTTAGCTGACTTAAACACAGTGAGTGCTTTCTGATAGGAAAAAATAGCTTCATCGAATCGAGCCAAGGATAAATAAGCATCTCCAATGCTGCAATCAATTGAAGCCACATCTATTTCATGGCCATTGGCTGCCATGGCCATGCTTGCTAAAACATAATGCTCAAGAGCAGCCTCATAATCTCCTTTTGAGTCACAAATGAGTCCCATGAGTCTCCTATCCGCTGCTTCTTCGATAGAAGCAGGAGAACCATTCTCCCTGTGGATGTCAAGAGCCATCTGACAAAGCTTCTCTGCCTCATCAAATTGCAATGCTTGAACATGAGCCTCAGCCACATACCGACATGTCTCACCAACGCGATGATCAGTTTCTCCCAAGACTTGCCTTTGTATCTCCAAACCTGCTGTATAACACAATATGGAATTCTCAATCTGACCCAACATTGCATAAGTATCACCCAACTGCATGCACCCTGCAAATTTAGCCAGTGCATGATCTTGGCCATCCTCTATGACTGGAATTTCAATTGAACGCTCAAGAACCGGAATTGCCTCATTGTATTGGCCTAAGCTGCAGTATATTGCTGACATAGCATGCAGACACATTACTTGCTCTAAATTGGGATTCCCGTTTGCACATGCCTCAAATGATTTCATCGCTCGTGCTGCCAATTCAAGAGCTTTCTGGGGATTCTCACCTGTGGAAATCATATCTCTTGTTTGTTTGAGTAAAAAGGGTCCAAGATCAGGATTATCTAAAGCTGCATCGGGATCCTCCAGCACATTCTGTCTTTGCTTCTTCATAGAGAAAGCATTAGTTGGTTTCGTTATATTCCTCTCATTCCTTTTATCAGTTGAAGGTCTCTCTTTAGAAGATTTGGCCTTAGGACTTGACTTTGTTGGAGAATTTTGCTTTTTACCCTTTTTTGCAACCTTTCTATCAGTAGAACCGTTTACTTTCTTGGGAGTAAATTCGCCGCCGCCGCCATTACTCTCTTGCTTATTTTTCCCCTCCACCACCACCACCTCTTTCATCATCTCTTCCTCCCCAACAATATCCCCAACAAGATGCCGCAATTCCGAATCAATCCTCGACTCCTCACCGTATGAACCATAACTAGCCCTTGATGGAGATTGATCAGAGCTTTGCATCTCACAGACATTGTGATACAGCTGCTCAATAGACGTCTCAACTATTCCATCAATGGCCAGATCAATGGAGTCACTACGGGGACTCTGTGGACTCAACGGACTTCTTGGAGACCTTTGCTGCAAATAGCTGTCCTTATACACCGTGTAGCTTCCATTAGATTCTTCTACTCCACCACTGTCTCCATTTAATGCATCCATCGCCAATCCAGGCATTTCCTCTGCAAATAATTCAACAACAGATAAAATAAAATTAGAGGTATACTTTCTGCATGTAGAAAAAAAATTCCTATCCAAAATAGCGAAGTAGAAAATAAAACTTTTGCGATTGCAGCATATGTAACACAAGAAATGTCATCATAAATAATCAATATTCGGAGAATATTATAACATTTAAATACAAAAGACAAAGTTCTGCTTGCATAATACCAAAACACTCTGTTGCCATATTCTTCCATTACCAAAACACTTTCATTTGACATATTAACATTATAAAGCAAAACAAACCCGGAACAGAGAATGAAAAACTGGATCTCTCTTCCCATGATCAATATCCAGAACAGGCCATAGAATTAATCAAGCAACAAAGCAAAACAAAGAGACACAAACAATGCAAATTAAAGAAGATAAATGATAAAGCATAAGCTGTACCTTTTTATATTCTGTTTCAATGAAGAGAGCGTTCAAACTTTTTAAGTCTTTATAGTCTCTGAGTGTTACGTATATAATCTGGTGAGGAGTATTTGTTCTGGTTTTGCTTTTATATATAGAGTACAAGTTCATGTATGCAAGAAGAAACAAAATTAATAAAAGGACAAAAAAGAACTAGAAAATTGGGAAGAGGATAGCGGCAAAATAGGAAATTATTGAGTATATTTGAAAATATATCATGTATACAGATAATATGTGTACAGGTGTGGGGTTGCATATAGAAGATTGTTGAAGCAATGAGGAAGGCGACTTCTCTCCCACCTTTTTCTCTCTGCAACACCCAGGATTTTAATTATTTTTTTAATTATGTTTACTTTAATTAATCATTAATTTATTATGCTGTTTCTTCATTGATATTTATGGTTCTTTATTGGGATTGACGTTCTTTAAAGTTTGTTCAAATATTAAAAATTATTTTCAGTTTTCATTAAGTAAAATTTTTTTAATTTTTAATCAGATCTTATCGAAATGGGTAAATTAATTAGTAAAGGATATTTATGGATCAAGGTTTGGGATTTTTTGCATTGGTTTCAGCTATGGCGTTGAAAATTGGCGCGACTAACGGCTTTCCAACTCAAAAAAGATTACGGAATTAGCGAAACTTGGAGTAACCACCTTTTGCCATTGTTTAATAATATTTTTTTATTCATAAATTTTTAAAATATTATTTTAATTTCAAAATTTATATTTTATTTTTAATTTTGATATTGTTATGATCTCATCGTGTTACTATCATTCTTTTTTCTGATCACTTATCAAAACCCCTCAAATCATACTTTCATCAATCTTGTCAATTGTCAACAATCAAACTATTAGGTTACACAATTATCATTCCCAAATCAAATTTCAATTAATCTTAATCACCAAAATCTAATATTTCATCATCCAAAAATTTATTAGTTTTCCTTCTTAAATAATTCTAAAAGTATAGACTGGATTTATTCTTTATTTGTCATCAAAATATAAATTTAAATAATAAAATAATATTTTAAAAATATCTAGTGAAAAAATTATCATTTAACTTTTATTTGAGTTAAAAAAAAAAAAGTTAACTCGTGAAAGGGAGTGAAACTTTATTTAACGTTTACCACGTGTCATTTTTCTTTTTTAAAAAATAAAGGTCATAGCTTTAGACGGGTTTTATGATGTAATGATGATTGGAGGGCTCCACGTGGACCAAATCAACATTCCAGCCGCATCCTTGCTGTTTCTGAAAGTGGTCCAGTGCTGGCCCAGTGCCAAAATAAAAAGGCATGCTTTCTGGCCCTGGCCCACTGCCCACAACCTTCAAAACGACAATCTAATGGGTTAAGTATAGTGACACGTCACCATCTCACCTCGACGGATATGGTATGGATAGCATTTTCTAAGAGTTGGGATTTTTTATTTAATTATTAAAATAAGAAAACAAAAATAAAATTAAAACACTTTATTTTAGTTGAGATAAATAGGTGGTTAAAGATAAGTTAGAAATTTAAATTAAACGAGACTAATTAAGATGTATAGCATTATTCTTCATTTAATAATGAAATTATATTTATTTTTTAAGATTTTAATTTAAGCACTCAAAGGCATGATTATGAGGCACTAGTTCTGCTTTTGCACATGTAGTTTTAGTATATAATTAATCAA